TCTGGTGCAAGCCACAGCCTGCTGTTCACAGCGATGGGCACTAGAGAGCGCACTTCTTTGTGCATTTACAAACCATGTGGGCTTGGACAAATGACTCGATGATTCCCACCCTCAGTTTTCCCACCTGAAAAATGGGTGCAACACTTTTGCGGGTTCTTACAGACCACTGCATGGAAAGTGTCTTGGATGTGCAGGTTTTTCTTTCTCCTTGCCCTCAGCTCTCATCAATAATGCCTCTTCTCTGAGGGCCATTTTGAGGCCTTCATTCCACTATGCAATGTACTTACTCAGCTACCCCACATCATCCCAACAAAACAAAATGCATCCTCTTCTCATGTGAAATATAAAGTTCACAAGTATATGGGACTCGGGTCCAACAGCATTTGATTGGTTGAAATATGTAGACAAAGACTTGTCCATTGCAATACTTCTATGTTGGATTTTTTCTTCATATACTAATCCAGCCATTTTTCTAAGTCTGAAATGCTTTTATCAACCCTAGGTTTAGGCTCATGGCACTTAGTGGATAAAACAGCTCAGCCTTCTTTCTCAGTAAAACTAATCATGTGGCTATCATAGCCCTTCTGTGTAGATACTGACTAAGGTCTCAGCCTCTCCCGCCCTCAGATCTCAACTCCCCCCTTTCCTGTTGGTGAATCCCACCGAGTGCCCGGCCTGGACACCCACCTGAGGACCTGCAGTGTCCCTTCCTAGTGCAGCAGCCAAGAACCAGGCCCTGGACCGGGCCAGCTAGATTCAAATTCTCATTCTGGTGTTCACTGGCTCTGACTATGGGCAAGTTTGTTCACCTCTCTACGCCCATCTCGTAATTTGTAAAATGAGACATGGACAATACCTGCCTTAGAAGGGTTGCTGCGAGGATTATACAAGTGAATTCCTATGTGCCAAGTGCCTGGACAAGTAAGTACTAAATTCTCGTTTGCTGTTACAATTCTGATCAGAGAAGTAGTAGTCTCCACAGGATGTACCCTAATGTTCCCCAAATTGGCTTGCTTCTAGAAATCACCTGGAATACTTGATAAAAATACACATTCCTGCAGCCGATCCCTTAAGGATCTGATTCTGTTGGTCAGGGGTGAGACCCTGGAATCTGTATTTTAACGTCCTCAAAATCTAGATTCAGTATCAATTTTGTAATCTAGGAGTCCAATTATGGAACCTCTCTGAGCCTCAGTTTCCTCCTGTGTAAAATGGGGGTAAAACCTATCCAGGTTGTTGTGAGAATTAAAAGGATAATGTATCTAATGCCCTGTGTAATGCCTGTTGCTTTCTATCAGCTTAGTCACTCTGGCATAAAAACCTAGGGCTGATTTTGTTTTCTTTTTTCCAATTTCTTGAACCGAACCCTTATTTTGTTTTTTTTGAAATTTGTTTTCATCAATTAATTTTTTAAATAAAAAAGGACTCTAAATTTTCCTCTGAGTAGAACTTTAACTGAACCCCATAGGTATTCTTTACTTTCAATTATTGTAGTTTCAATTACCTCTTGGAACCAGTTTTTAAAAGAACGTTTCTGTTTTCAGGTGGGTAAGTTTTCTGAGCTGTATTTTGCTTCTGATTTATTGTAACCAAATATTGTCGTTATTATAGCACCTCTCTATGATGTATACTAAGGTTTCTACAAATGTTTCATGGACAGAAAAGAAAAATGTATATTTCCTATTTGTAGGGGCAGTTATACAAGCTAGATGATTGTGTCCTTCAAATATTGTATCCTCACTATTATTTTGGTCTTTTTCATGTTTTCTAAACTGGAGTCATTGAAAAGCTCACCTTTGTGATTCCCCCCCAGATCCATGTGTCAGCTATACTGCTATTTAACACACTTATTTTAAAAGAAAATCAGTATCATTTGTCCTTTCAGCCCAACATGAGCATGGGTCTAGCAGAGGGCATTTAGGCCCTGAAATATTTGAGAATGAACATGTTATATTTGGAGGTGGGGCTTTTAAAGAGATGACTAAGGCCCTGGCCAGTATGCACAGTGGTTAGAGCGTCAGCCCCCAGTCGAATGAGTCGGGGGTTCGATTCCGGTCAAGGCACATATGTCGGTTGCGGTTCATCCCCAGCCCTGGTGGGGTCGTGCAGAAGGCAACCAGTTGATGTGTCTCTCTCTCCCTCCCTCCCGCTCTATCTGATGATAAAGAGAAAACTATCCTCGGCAGAGCATTAAAAAAAATGTAAAGAGATGATCCGGTTAAATGAGGGCATATGGGTGGCCCTGACCCGACGGGGCTGGTGTCCTTAGAGAGGGAGGCACAGAGGAGGCCAGGCGAAGACAGCGAGGGGGCAGCTGTCTGCAAACCAAGGAGGGAGGCCTCAGAGAAAAAGAAAGTGAGCTGGCCAGGGCCTTGACCTCAGAGCTCAGCCTCCAGGACTGAGAAAACACATTTCTACTGTTCTGTTGCTTTTTCATATGGCAGCCTGGCAAACTCACACACAAGGAGAAGGTGGCAGTCCCCTTCTCGGGGGAGGCCGGACCAGAGACAAGGAGGGCTCTCTGACCTGACCTCCACTCCCCCTGCCTCTGGGGCCACGGGGCCCAGGACTCGCCTGGAAGCTCACGGAGCTCAGACCGTCTCTGCTGGGGGATCCCGGGGTCAGGCCCCCTTGGGCAGCAGCATCCTTGCCCCAGACCCTGCTGGAGACAAGCCTCCCTTGTTTCTAGACCTGCAGCCGCTACATCACCTGGACCCCTGCAGGCCAAGGAGCCACGTTTCAGGCCAGTTTTGCTGAGGGACCAAGCCGAGGCTGCCGTCTGCCTTCTTGTCCCTCAGAGTCCTTTTTGAGACTAGACTTTCCCTTGCTTTCCAATCAACCCAGCTCTCAGAACAACTCCAAGTGTATCGTGGAGACTTGACACGTAACTGAGGAAGGGGTGAGCATGCTCTCAGGTCCCGCCAACCTCGCGGCTCTTCTCTGGACAATGTCCATCACCTACCGCGTCCTTCCATGACCCCGCCCCTCAGGCCTCCTTTCGCTCTTGCTCTGACTTGCAGTCACCTGCCTTTACCTCTCCAACCCTCCTTCCCACTCTGCCAACCACGTCCAACTTCACCATATGCTAACTCTCTGCAGAGCAAGGTCATGTTCTAAGCGCTTTCCCCGTTTCAACTCGTGTAACCCTCCCAGACACCCTGGGAAAGTGCAATGAATATTCCTGTTTTACAGATGAGGAAACTGAGGCAGAGTGAGGTTAAGCATGGCTAACCTGGCCAAGAGGTGGCAAAGCTGTGATGTAAGCCTGTTGCCTCGGTCTGGAATGGGCGGGACGCTAATCTGCTCCCAACCCAGAGGTCCGTCAGGTATGCCGGCCGGGATCAGGGTGGGGGAGGGCGGGCTGAGGGCGCGGAATTTCGGAGCTGTGCAAGGGCAATCCTGTGTGTGCATGCCTCGCTCCCCACCCCACCCCCACCATCCCCCCCCCCCCCCCCGGCAGCCCAGCGCCCTCCCGGCTCCCCAGCGCCCAGAATGACGTCCCAAAGCGCTGGCCTGCTGTGTGGGGCCTTCCACGGGCTGCTTACCACTCACCTCTCCATCTTTTATTTTCTGTTTCCATCTCATCTGGGGATCTGCCTGGAACGCCCTTTCCCCGCCCGGGTCTACGGGTCTAGAACCTGCCATTCTTCATCAAAGAAAGAAGCTGTAAGGTCCTCTGGCCCTGGTCTCCTTCGGGGCAGCTCCCGTGTGGAGCAGAGATTTCCTCATTTCCAGCTGCACTCATGCCGAGGGCCTCGTCCTGGGGACCTGACACATCCTCGCTGGGCTGACCTCACATTGAACTCTGTCCCGAGCTTCCTTCTGCAACTCCAGACTCACATGTCCAACCGTCGACTCGCCACCTCCACCCTGATGTCTAACAGCGTCTCAAACTCGGGACCCAACCTCAAGCTTCCAGTCTCCTCAAACCCGGCCCTCCTCCCAGGGTCCCAGTCCTTCCAGTCACTGAAGCTCCCGTCACACACCCAGTCCCATGCTGGACCCTCCCGGTTCTACCCTCAGCTCATGTCGGACTGGACGCACCCATCACACCCTCTGCTGGCACCTTGACCCGGGCCGTCGTCTCTCCCCTGGGCTCCCGTCGCCTCCATCCTGCCCGAAGCCTCCGCTGCCGCAGCCCTGACAGCAGTGCTCTGGATAATCTGGGTCACACCTCCCTGCCCAGAGACCTCCAGTGGCTCCCCAGGGTGCCGGCCCTCCCATGATGGAGGCACTCACCACCATTTAACGCTCTGTATTAACTGACGTTCTGTCAGAGGATTTATGAAGGCTGAGAAGTCCCACGACCCGCCGTCTGCAAGCTGGAGGCCCAGGAGAGCCGGCGGGAAGCTGGAGGTGGCTCAGTCTGAGTCCAGAGGTCGGAGAACCAGGAGCATCGGGGCAGAGATGGTGTCGCGGCTCAGTCAGGCAGGAAGAGCTGACTTCTTCCTTCTGGTGAGAGCTCAGTGGCCGGACGATGCCACCCACACTGGGGAGGGCAAGCTGCTTCAAGCGCTAAGCTCAGTCGGGGACACAAAGCCAATCCTGTGTGTGCATGCCTCTCTCCCCACCTCGCCCAGCCGGGTATCGGGGCAGCTCACGATCCAGCCAAGCTGACACACATTCACCCGCCGTGTTCATCCACTTGGTACATACAGCACCATGGATGTGAGCACTCCGTAGGTTCCTACCCTGCCCCTCGCTCCGTCACAGGGAGGGGCAGCAATGGACGCATGAAGTGCTGGGAGCAGGGTGACCTGGGGTGGGGCGGGTGGGGAGGTTCTGACACCTTGAAGACCAAGCCTCACAGGTCGAATCAGGACGAGCTGGAAAGTGGAACGTGGAAAGCCGACACCACTACAATGTAAACATCAGCAGCGGCCAGGCCGAGAGCCCCTCACTGCTGCCTACTCGGCCGCTGGTCCTCGGGGTCGTGGACACAACAGCTCGCCCAAAGAACCCCAAGACCTCATTCAGTGAGAAGTCACACGTGGTGGGTAGCAACACCTTTTAATGGTTCACATTTTTTTCCAGAAGAGTTATAACAAAAATACATGGAACGTAATATGTTTCGATACAGTGGGCAATCACAGAACCTGAACAAGACAAGTCGGTACAGTATGCTCCTTCTCATGGGGGCAGAACTTCCATCCTCTCACCGAGAACCACGCGGATCAGCGCGGTCGTCCCGCACTACCTGCTGGTCTGGTTTGAGGTTGGCAGACTTGGAGGTAAAACAAATTTTAAAAATAAATAAAACTCAACACAGTCAACTGCCTCAGTTCCCCTCTCGTGTTTCTTCTCGTTTTCGCCCTGGACCGGGTGGGATGAGGGCGAGGCAGAGCCCTGCGGGGAGGCTCAGTGCCCTGCTGACGGCATGCCAGCCAGGCGCGGGGTTCCCTGAGGTGACTGAGAAATGTCCTTGAATCAACTGCCCGGCGCTGTGGCGGAGAAATACAAGCAGAGGGGAGGGAATGGCAAAGGGGCTGCAAGAACTCTGGTGGGAGGTGTGATGTCCACAGCACACGTTTGAAATCCACCGCACAGTGAGAAGACGGCCTGAGGACAGCCCGGCAGCGCCCTGGCAGGGTCTGAACTGCGGAGCTGCTAGCTCCGGAGAGCCCGGCTTGGAATGCTAAGAAGCACCGCCACTTCTGCCGAAATCCCACCAGGGACAGTCATTCAACAGAAGACATCAAAACCATTTGGTTTTTCAACAAAAATCCTTCACATCCACCTGTGTTCAAAAATAATAATAATAACTTATGATATTAACAGCTTCCTTAATAAAGCAATTGCCACAAAAGAATTAAATTGTAAGTGTGGAAAGACCTATTTTCCTATCAATGTAGTTCTTAGGAAGGGACAGAGACATAATATACATGAAAAATAAAGCCGTGACACTTTGTTTTTAGCTTAAAGTTTTAAACAAGGGTTAAGTGATTCAGCTTGCTTAGACCGTTACGCAATAAGCTAAATAAAGACGATTATTGTTTTTCCCCATTTAAGGTGCGTGTCTGCCTCCATGACAAATTAACGATGGTGACCACACTAGACTGCTAAGGACAGGCAGTGGACTATCACCTCAGTGGAATATGCTGGCCAAGTGGCCATTTTCTTTCCTACAGTGATGGAGCACAGAGGGGCAAACTTGGCCGGAGTCATCACACATTCAGTGAGCAGGGCGGCCAAGGAGAACAGAGCACTGAGCCCCAGGGTAGCTCTCGGTCATCGGACAAGCCTGTCAGCCTCCAAGTGAGCCAGACCACGCCTCCCAAGCAACAAGGCACCTGATGTGCACACTCGAGCCATGACTTGCGTTGGGCAAAAATTGAGTGATAATATTTTTCATCTCTAGTATCATTAACACCTTGGAGAAAACAGAAAACAATCATCAGCATTAGAAGCTTGAAAAGAGGATAAGAAAACCCACAGAAGAAGTCGTGCTAAAACTGCTTCGCCAGCTGTTCCATCACCGCCCACCGCATGGGCTTGAGGCCGGTGACTTCATGGACGCATCCGCCGATGCACTGCCGAAGGTCAGTTTCGAGTCCATCATGGTGACCCCAGTGCGATGCTGCCTGCCTTCCATTCACCACCTCCTGCCCATTAGATCCAAGGGTCTCAGGTGGTGGAGGCACAAGACACACAGGTGTCAAAGCCCAAGAACCTTGCTGAAAACTTCGCCTTGGAGTTGGACAAGGAAACGCATCAGTGGTTGGAGTCTTGGCAGCAGCATCCACACTGGGGCTTAACCTCAGCAGCCAGCCTGCAGGATGTTCCCCCCAGAGCGCTTGGTCACCGACAGAGTTGTGAATACCTGCGGGGGAGACAGCATGAGACTCTCAGACACCCGAGCAGATGAGTTAACAGGGTAATTCAGATCACACCACATGTATGATGGAGTTAGAAATGGACAAGTAATATGAACACAGATATCCTCAACTTCTCCAGAGGATAAAAAGGGGAAAACATTTTAAAACCAAGGCAAAAGAGAAAAATACTTAGGTTATATCTAATGACGAACTTTATTAGCACGAGGGTGATTAAAACAAGATACCCAAGTTGCTTGTCTATTCTCTTAAAAAAAATGCATCATGAAATATTTGGGACGTGTAGAAAAGTATACAGCGTATCATCACAAACACCCATGTGCCCGCCCAGCTCTTCACGTCATAGGAATGTGGTTGAGTCCACGTGTGTCCCTCTCTGGTCACGGTCCCCCCACTTCTCCCTCAATCAGTGCTGACCATTCCTACAAATTTCTTCCTGCTCTCTGTTGTAGGCTTCAAAAATTTTACATGAAAATGGCAAGATGGTGTATTTCCTCTTCTGCTACCTGCTTTCTGGGCTCAACGCTACATTTCTGTTATTCCCCCATGTGGACACACAGAGCTCTGATTCTTCCACTTTTCACTGAAGAGTATCCAATTACTGCAGTATACTATATATGGTGTATACTACAGTATCCAATCATTCAAGTGGCAGATCTATTACGATTACACATCCAGGCTGCTTTGGCTGGCCAGCCAAGCTATTGCCAATATGCCATTTGCAACAAGCTCTGTGACCTCCAGGAGTCTCCTCGCACCCAGAGCTAGAGGTACAATTGCTGGGTTGGAGGGGACCTGCAGCTTCGATTTGACTGAATTCCAAGGTGCCCGATACTCTCATCTGCAGTGACCGACGCGTTCTCGTTTCACATCCTTGCAGACATTTAGAGCCTTAACTAGCATCTTCAGGCAGCTTTAACGTGTACCGCGCAAGATGGCCTATACATAAAACACTGCTTCTCCACCTCAGTGAGCACAGCCTGCTCACTCAGATTGAAACACACAGAAATCACAGATCTGAATCTGGCAGACCTAGGGTAGGGCTCAGGAATCCCACTTTCAGCAAGAGTCCCAAGTGATGGGTTGTAACGCAGTTGTCTGGAGCCATGTAGGAGAATTCCTGGTGGAACACCGGGGTCACACTCCCAACTAGAAGTCAACCTCAAGGTGACCTAACCACCAGCTGCTTATCGTGTAGTTTTACCAAATAGGAAATACACAGTCAAGATTTCAAAAACATACTATTTCTACATCTAGAAAGATTTTCATTTCTGGCCTAATGGAGTAATTGGTGCCAAACCAGTTCTCTCTGTTTAAACAACAAAAACCTGGACAAAATATATGAAAGTCACTTTAGATACCGAACAACAAGCAGTGGACTGTGAGCCCCATGTGAGGAGAAATAAGGTGAGCCTTCAACAGGCCTGTCTGCCTGTGGCATCTACGAGATGCAGGCGCAGGAGCCCGACGAGAGCAGACATCCTGGTGACTTGAAGTGACAAGAGTGGAGACTAGGGAAGCTGAGGTGGCTGGATTTGTGGGGCAGAACTCCCTAGAGGAGGGAACTACCCAAATCAAGAGCTCCAGAAATCTGCATGCAGATCCCTCATCTCTGGCTGAATACCAAGCTGTGCAGGTCTAGGGGGCAGGACACCGCACGAGGCCAGGAAAGAAACCACAGCCGGACAGCTGTCAGCTAAACAATCACCAGAGCCCCTTCGGGGTTGGGGGAAGTCCCAGTTCTCAAGCGCTGGAGCCCAGTGGCTTCCCTGAGCCCCTGGGGCAATCAGTGGAGACCCCGGAAGGCTACACCTAGGAACAGGGTTAACTATTACTAGCCCTGGAGTAAGAAATACCCTAGACCACCCTCAAAAAGCTTATAACAAACCTCAAAAAGATCCAATGAGCCACAAGGACGTTAATGGTCCACCACAAGGAAACTTGGCACTCTTTAAAGGAGGACAACAAAATCCAGGTACCCAGTACAGATTCAAGGTGCTGGGGGCAAAACCCTGTCAACCTAGAATTCCATACTCAACAAAAATATACTTCCACGAAGAAAACAAAATAAACTGTTCCAGAAAAACGAAAACTGGGTAACTTTGTTACCTATAGGCCAACACTACCAAAAAACATTCAAGAAAGTTCCTCCAGCTGAGGGAAATGGTAACTAGGGATGACACCTTTCCCTACAAGTCAAACATTTTGCTTCTTATCTGTGAAATCTGATCTCTCTTTGTGTTAACACTAACAGATCAGGTCTTTACAACCGACTGAACTACTGTGAGATTTTCATTAGTTTCCAAAACATAGTGTTTTCACCTCCCTGTGATGACCTTTCGTGTGGACCACACATTGTACATTTCCACCCTATTAGGACACAGACCCGGGGGCGGGCTTCTCTGGCCAAAGACACGTGTGGAAGCGGAATGCATTACTTCTTAAACACCAAGTATGCTTTCCTACCTCCTTTCCCCTCCACCATGTAGCCGGCAATGCCCTAGGGAGAGGAGGCTCCATCAGCCTGTTTCGGGGGTGAAGAGGCACCAAAGCTGAGCTGCAGCTTATCCGTGATGACCAGAGAGCACGAGCAAGGAACAAACCTCTGCTTTTATAGGCAAAACAAACCAAAACCAAAACAACAGCCAACTGTCCACCTACACAGCCCAGGCATGAAAACAATAAATTAAGTTGTTCAATTAACTAAAAGGGCTTGTGTTCAATAAATTAAATTTAGAAACATATCTCATCTCTGAGTACTCCTGAAACTTTAATCCAAACCATTCTGACCGCACTAAGTAAGCTGGGAGGTAACATTGCTAAGATTCGGTCGAGCCCATCAGTCCTACCCTGTGAGGACCAACCTCCTGAAGCCATTACGTGTCCTACTGAGACTGGTGCCAAGGCTTATTTGGGAGCGTCTTGCGTGGCTCACTGAGTGCCTGCATCCTTGTTGGCACACCTGGGCACCTGGATATATTTGTTAGTCAGCTGCCCCTTTGATTCCTGAGAAAACAACTGGTTTCCTGGTTTTTACTACAAAAAGCAAAGGACACAAAAATATCAAGGCCTCTTTGACTTATATAGATCAAAACAACAGGTATCAGCATCCAAAGCACTTTTGAATAAAAAGGGAAACCCTACTGTGTAAAGGAGGAACAATACTAAGAAAAACCCTTGGTCTGTTTCAGCCTTAAACCAGTGACAAAACCATATCCTTCCATATATATATCAATATGTCATCAGTGCCTCAAAAAATTCAGACCCAAGTAATAATGGCCAGTATCTGAAAATATTTAAAATATGAAGCCAGAAGAAACCATGAACAATTCATATCCAAAAAAATAACGATGAGAAAATAGTTCGTCCTTGTTAGCAAAGATATGTGAAAATCCTTGAAATAAGCTATCCCCTCACCTTTTATACTTAATGTAGAAGTTTCTACACTAAATTTTTGCAACATTTGCAGTAGCACTCTTAAATTAAATGCTAATGACATTGTAAGCTAGTATGACTCTTTGGAAAAGCAATAAAGTTCCTTTGTTTAAAAAATGTGTGACTGTGGAAGAGGACAGAAAGACAATATTCAATAATGGAAATAGCGGCGTTAGAATGACAATATCATGGGCAATTGAAAATGCCATCAAACATGCTCTCTTTTCAATTTTTATAAAGGGAGAACCATAAAGGGCCAGGGAATGCATTCAAACAAATTTAGGTTTATGAATTTGCCAGCTTGTTTTCTTTCTCAGGAATTAATTCAGAAATAGAACTAGTAGGAGATTTGGAAAAGAAAATGAAACCCATCAAACATGCAAGCAGATAAAAAAGAGCTCTTATCTATTTTTCTCATACTGATAACATACTCATATTAAAAAGATGGGGGAAGCCAACAGTCTGCCACTATTGATTAGTGTACATGAAAAATCTGATGGGGTCAATTTTTACAAAGATTTTATTTGCATATAGCTGCTTTAGAATCTTCATAAAAACACAATTTGAAAAAATGAGCATTGTGCCCGGCTGGTGTGGCTCAGTGATTGAATGCTGACCAAGAGGTTGCTGGTTCAATTCCCGGTCAGGGCACATGCCCAGGTTGTGGGCCAAATCCCCAGTGGGGGACATGCAGGAGGGGGCCAATCGATGGTCTCTGTCGTCGATGTTTCTATCTCTCCCTCTCCCTCTAAAAATCAATTAAAAAAAAAGATTTTTTAAAGATGAAATAAAAACCCAGCGTTGGGGCTGCCTCTTCATGCTTTTCTGTCCAGCACAAGGAACACTCACCGGGCCCAGCGCTGCTGCAGCTGCACCTCCCAGCCGCATGAGAACCCCTCACCCTGACTGTGATTATGTTGACTATTAAAAAAAACATTTGATGTTGGGCACTGAAATTCATTTAAAGACACTTCACAGGGGTCTTTTCTAATGTTCTTTCCTCCTGAACTATTATATTTCCCCTACAAATAAACTGGATTAGTTGAAATTACTACTCTGAATGACATAGTTTCCCATCCAATTACTGCTGCTCAGACGTCCAGAATAAATCAGCAGCACACTGCCTCACGATGAACGTGCCATGTACTGCTGGTGCTCCTGACACCAGCGGGCTTTCCGTTAACACAAGAGCAGCACCCCCTCCTTTGAGCAATTGCAGAAGGAAACCCTTTAGAAACGGTTTTGCTCCAAAGAGCAGAGTCTCAACTGAGGGATTTGTCAACTTTTCTAAGTAATTACTCCCAACCCAAAGGCTGCTCGATAGACCGGGTTACTATGTCAGTGTGGTATGAGGACGTCAATGCACTCTGCCGACCACACACAGCGGCCTGGGAGCTGACTGGTTCGGAACACTCCAAAGCAGTGCTCAGGACCAGCTTTTAAGTTATTATTTCTAATCCATCCAAGGGACTGACATTTGTGAAATTAAATAAAACATATTAGGAAAATTAATTTTTAAAAGCCATATAATTTTTAATTATTAGATCCAATACTGTCAAAGTACTCTTCAGGTTGTGACCTGTCTTCATCGCCACCCTTCTCCTTAAGGGCTGGTAACGAAGGCTGTGGCCAGCCCCTGAGCAGCACCCAGCCCCTGCAGTGCACGGCTTGACGGGGACACAGTGGTCCCGGAGCAAGTGCAGTCAGAACCCAGCATTTAGCACAGACTAGAGTCCCTAAAATCCACTACCAATCAAATTTCACTTTCCTTGATCAAGCAGCTTTAAAAAAGATTTCCATTGTCAGAGGTTAGAAGCCTTTGGTTTTTCAAAACTTAATTTTTTTTTTTAAATCCTCACCCGAGGATATTTTTCTAATTATCTTCAGATAGAGTGACAGGGAGGGAAAGACAGAGAGAGAGAGAGAAACATCAACGTGAAAGGGACACAGCGACTGGTTGCCTCCCGCACGACTCGACCAGGGCCAAAGACGAACTGCAACCGAGGTATGTGCCCTTGGCCGAAATCGAACCCGCGACTCTTTGGTCCACAGGCCAACGCTCTAACCACTGAGCGAAACTTGCTAAGGCACAACAATCTAATTTCTAAGCAAGTAGTTCATAACCAGGGGTTTTAAAAAGATCCAGAGGAGCTTTTCCAATATACACACCCCTCCCCACCCCGATCCCCTTGAAAACAATGTAATGATGACATTTAGTCAAGCACATCCAGATGCAATACCCTGGGGAAACCCAGCTCACAGATGCCGGCAGTCACTCAGTATCTATCATATGCCAGGAACTGTCCGAGACACTCCACTTTCCACGTGGCGCTGCTCACCGACCCTATGAATGAGATATTCTCTCTTTTATTTACTGCAGAAACTAAGCTCCTGAAAAGCAGGGCGACGTGTCAGGTTCACTGAGAAGAATGTGCTGAGTGACATTACACCCAGGTCTGTGTGTCTCTATTATGCTCATCGCCACCAATAAATCATTTTCATTTTTAAAATTCTATGCCAAGCTCTAGCCAGTTTGGCTCAGCGGTTAGAGCGAGGGTCCCCGGCCCCAGTTGGGGTCGTGTGGGTGGCAGCCAGTTGATGTGTCTGTCACATCTATGTTTCTCTCTCTCTTCCTCCCTCTTTCCCTCCCACTCTATCTGAAGATACATGCAAAAACGTCCTCGGGTGAGGACAAAATAAATAAATAAATAAAATTCTATGTCAAATATGCAGAAAGGTCTGTGGACATGGAGTACGGTCTGAACAGTGTGGTGCCTCGGGAGCCTGGTGGCTTAGGTGTGAATCCCAGTTCTGCTACCTCCAAGCCGGTAACGGTGGGCAAGGTACTCAACCTCTCTGTCCTGTCTGTCCAATGGAGACACTGCCACCTACCTCACGGGCTTCTCGGAAGGACTAAGGAAGTCGACACACACAGAGCAGCGTGTTGGACACTCACGGGAACCCTCACAAACACCAGTGCTCCCGCCAGGGTTCCCCCCTCGAACCTGCTCTCTACCAGCGCTTCCCACTCAGGCACAAATGAATGTGAACCTTTCTCAGTCCCTCCCTGTTCCCATCTCCCACCAGCTGGGCAGTACTATCAATGCTCCTTCCTATTTCAATGGCTCAGGGTCCTCTCAGTTCCCACCACCACCACCACCCTCCTTCAGGCTACCACTCTTGCCTCTAGACCTGCCTCCTTGGCTCCACTTTTCAGAGTAGCAAGAATGACGTCTCTCAACAATGTAGCTGGTCATACTATTCTGCTTTTTTTAATCCTCGCCTGAGGACATTTTTGCATTTATCTTCAGATAGAGGGGGAGGGAGAGAGAGAGAAACGTCGATGCGAGAGAGACACACTGACTGGCTGCCACCCACACGACTCCAACCGGGGCTAGGGACAAATTGCAGCCGAGGTACATGCCCTTAGCAGGAACCAAACCCGGGTCTCTGGTCCGGGTCAATGCTCTAACCACTGAGCAAAAACAGCCAGGGCTATTCTCCTGCTTTAAGCTTCTCTCAGCTGAATCCCAATGCCCCAAAACAAAGTCACCTTGAATTACAAGGCCTTGACCTTCCACTTATTTCTCCACTGAGAGTGTGTTTATATGAATAAGTGTGTGTATACATATATACATCCTTTAAAAACCTCTCTCTAAGCTCTTCAAGCGACAACAGTATTGAGGGTCTTTCAGTTCCCCGAGTGAGCCGTGCTCGCTCCCAGAACGGCCTCTTATTTGGCGTTCCTTCTGACCGACTAACACAACACATTCTTCCAGCCAGAGGCAAGACTCCCTCCTCAGCCACCCTGCCCCAGTACCCCTACTCCAAACACCGCCTGACACTACCCTGTCCTAGGGCTCGACACTGAACAGTGACTGGCACTTCACTCATCTGCTTCCTGCTCTTACTGTGTCTTCAATCCCTGCTGCATCCCCAAGTGCCCAGCACAGAGCTGTGCACCAGGCTCACAACAAATGTGTGCAGTGACACAACACCCAAGTTTTTATCTCACTGATCAGCCACCAGCTTGAGAAAAAAGAGGAAAGCGCCCCATCAAAGCGGTGGAAATGAGCTCCTGAGCGTCAGCGTCACGGGACCGACAGATGGAGATGCGCGCTGGCAAAGGGGCTCTCAGATGCACCAGGTATTCCGAGGAGAGCAGGCCTCTGGCTGGCCTCCCTGCAGGCGGGCACTTCAGGAGGACATCCTGCCTCTTCAGGCATCTCTGCCCAGCTGCAGCCATGCTGCGGGGCTCACCACTGCTGAACCCCAGCACAGCAAACACCACCACGAGGGAGGCAGGAGCCAAGCCCTCGGCAGTCTTCCTTCTAACCAGCCCAATGAAAGCTGAATTCAGATTAAAAAATCTGATACACATATGTACATTGAGGAGTTATCTTTTCATCCATATTGAAGATGACTGTGGTAGCTTTTAAGTATCTTGGACCGGCATCAAGATTTTTAAATATTCTCACTGCTGTGGGCTGAATTAAGTTCCCCAGAAGGACATGTTCAAGTTTGAAGCCCCAGTACCTATAAATATGACCTTACTTGGAAACAGGGTCTTTTGCAGATGTAACCAAGTTAAGATGAAGTCATTATGGGTTAGTGTGGGCCTTAATCCAATGACTGATGCCCTTATAATAACAGGGAAACCTGGACAGACACAAGGGAGGAAAGGCCATGTGAGGACGGAGGCAGAAACTGGAGTGATGCATCTATAAGTAAAGGAGCACCAAGGATCGCCAGCAACCACGAAAAGCTAGGAGAGGCGAGAAGGACTCTTCTCGAAAGCATCAGGAGGGAGGTGTGGCCCTGCTGACACCTTGACTTCAGACTTCGAGCCTCCAGAGCTGCGAGGGAATAAATGTGTTGTTTTAAGACACACAGTTTGTGGTAGTTTGTTACGGCGGCCCCAGGAAATTAACACACTCACTAAAAGTGTTTCTGGAAAAAAAAAGAAGTTAATTTGCTCCTTCCCTAGACAGACACTGACGGTCTTAGTCATTACACTGAATAAAAGATATCATCATAGCACACTGTTTAAAAGCATTAATCTAGACTCTTTTCCATTTTTATGTTATATTTTGTGAAGCTTAGTTTTACTTCACAAGACAGTAGTTTTCTATGAATAATGCCCTAGTCACAGAACATGTTAATATTTTATGCTACCATCCCAACCAGGTGCATAATATTTAGAGGAGGACACTATCCCTAATATAGCAAAGAACCAAAATCTTTGCCCAGGTCTTACAGCTGACATTTCACACTCAGCAAAGAGTTCAGCACAAGTGCAATCAAGAACAGAGACCAACAGTTAGCAGGCAGCTGAATGAAATCTGGCAGGAGTGTGCGTGTGTGTGTACACGTGTCTGCATGTGTGTGTGTGCAAGCACAAGGTACACTGTGGAAACCACTGACTAAGGTGGCCAGACAACAGCTGTAATTTCAACTCCATACTTAAGCTAATATGAGATCCCTCTTCCCAATCTTCATCAAGCTCTCCAACATAGACACATTTTGGGTTTACATTCCCGAAGTTAATAATAAAGCATCACAATATTCAACTCCAGAATAATCACTGACAAACACGAAGAAACACTGACACCCAGAGGCCCAGAGTGGTCAATTTCCAATTCTATTGTCATGTGCCTCATCTTTTAACAGCAACACTTTCAAATCTCATTCTCTGATCCAAAAGCTAAGTAGGCACACATGTCATTTGGCTCTGAGATAATGAGTACTGAAGCTCTTTCTGGGTGTGAATGGCATTATTAACTGACTGCCATGAAAATAATTTAGAAGACATGATAAATAAAAGATTTAAGGCACATCTCTATAAATCACTCTCATGGCTTTTACCATTTAATAGCATGACAGTACTATCCAGTTCACACCAGGCACAAAGAACAATGTGGGAATGAGGAAAAGGTGCGTTCTAGGGACAAGGTGTCCTTTTGAGTTCTTCTCATTCACTAACGAGCTGTCAGGGGGCTCAGAGCAGCTCGGGTACATCAGGAAGAACACTAGCTTCAGAGTCCTAGATGTGCCACTTATAGGCCGGGTGGTGGTGGTGTGCATGTTTGAACAGAGCTATGTAAGTACAGGTGACCCACCTCTGCACAGACGGGGTGGATCCCGATGGTGCTGTCCAGCTGCTGTTTGGTCAGTCCACACTTGAGCGCAGCTGCAAAGCCTTGTGTAACTTCTCCAGCATTGGGACCCAGTACGTGGAAGCCCACAACACGTTCCTAAAATATAAAATCAAGTAATACAATTACACTGATTTCTTTTTCCTCCTTAACAACCTGGAGTATTTCCCCAGTCCATTCTAAAAACCCCACTCAGAAACAGCCAAAGACACAATTAATGCTTGCTGCTAAAAGCTGTTTAGGCAGAAGATAACTCCAACATGGACCCATACATCCTGTGGGGTCACATTAAGCAAGAAGGAAGAGACCAGAGCTGGCCACAAGTGATGACAAGGGAAAACATTAAGAGCAAAACTGCCTGCAACTCCAGAGTTCAGAATGTTCTGGAAAATGTTCCAAAGGGCAGTTGTGTCATCTCCTCTATCTGGGTTGGGTGTCTCAGAGCTCCAGATAAACTGTGATAGCTGGAATATTTAAGATATTCATACAAATTAAAAATCATTTTAATTTGGGGACTGATAACACAATTAGACTTAAGTCCCTTCCAATCTGAAAACAAAAGAAACATGTTTGGCAACTGAAATACCTGTGTGGGAATTATTTCAGATAGATTCCAAATCCCAAACTTGGGAGAAACTCTGCCCAGAGCAGACTCTCAGAGCCAACTCTGCCAGAGGAGACTGTCTAGTCCAATCTCCTCGTAACAGACGAGGCGCCTCAGGCTGCAGGGTGCAGAGCATAAGGCTCAATCACTCTACGGAAAGCAATCAAGAAAGCCATTCTGTTGCCAAAGTACTATAATATATTCCATGTTGGACTTACACAATTTATCCTGACAATCTAGGGTTGAGTATATAGATAAACAAAGCACAAAATATACTAGGTCTTAAAATATACTAGAAGTACATTTAATAATATGGACAGATCTCAAAAATGAGATAAAAAACAAGCTGTAGGTCTCTATCTAGCTGAGGACACCAATGAATTAAACTACAATGTATTATGTTTATGGATACATCATAGGTGGCAAACATAAAAATATGAACAGGTGAGACACTCCAACTTCAAGACTGCTGCCTGTACAGTAGGGAAGAAATGAGGGGCACAGGATAAAGAAAAAAATACAAAAGGCTACATGGGCAGGGGATAATGGTTAACAGGAAATCAACATGAATTCCAGCCCTGCCATTAACTAGTATAAGCACGTAAATTCTATCTAATGTATGCTCACATGAATAAATCTTTAATAAAACTTGTCTGAAAAGAAAAAAATTCTACCTAAAATTGTTCTTTATGTCAAGTGTGTATAGCTCATTATGGGTTACACTGGTACACTCACTTATTAAAGGTATCTGTGACGACCTGTTTTTGCAGAGGATCCAGGTATTCCTAGAACCCTGGGTTCTGCAAAAAGCAACCTGCAACGGTCCTACTGTCTAGAGCAGTAACTTCTAAACCAGAGGTATAGCTCAATTACATTCAAATTCCAGATAAGAAGAGCATGAGTCCGTTAGGTTTCTTTTGGGGGGGGCGGGGGGGGGATACATGCCCCTTGCTGCTAGAGCCTAGTGGGAACTGAACCCGGGACTCTCTGGTCCGCAGGCCAACGCTGAGCCAAACCGACCAGGGCTCCATTAGGTTTTTAACAAATGGATTTTTTAGCATCATTTATACTTTCACTGAGGACATTTTTTCTTAAAGTAAGATTCCAGCTAAGTTAAAAATACCAGTTCTCATAAGATTTAATTCATACCACTTACAGAGTACATGTACGGATGGACGTGTCCTAAGTTACAATATAAAATGGGGCAGCATCAGAAAGTTTGAAAACTAATGATTTATTCAGTTACTTTGTGAGTATGGAAACAAACTGTGAGGTCGAGTTTCCCCACAGGCCTTCATTACCGATTGTTACATGTAGCAGCAGCAATGAAATCTTAAATCAGAACCCAATTAAGAGCTCTTCCCATTACCGCTTTCCCATTCTTGCCAGCTGCTTAGTACAGAAACTTGCATCACTTCTGTTCTTTCTCGTTTTGTCATTATTATTAGATAACCGATGACTTAATTGGTTCTCTTTCACACAGACAGAGTTTGCAAGTTATCCCTGCCTGCCTGCTGTGTGTAGGGCTCTGTGCCAGAGAGGCTGAGGGGGGAGCAAGCTGCCACCATGGTCCCTGCCCTCGGATGTCTATGCAGCTGGGGAGACGACAGGTAAAACCGTAAAGGAATGCACTGTGTACCATGTGATCACAATAGAGCAACATCTTAAAAACTAAGTGAAATTAGTGGAAAGGATTAAATGAGAACTGCACTTACATTGTCTTTCATATTACAGACTATTTTTGCGTAGCATTTGTTGCTGTCTCTTGATGGAACCGTCCACTCCAATGGCCAAAAGTAACTATGGTAAACCTAAGAAGATACAAACACAGTTAGACCTATCACCTGAAGAAGCATGTGTGTGAGACACCAGCTGTGGTAGACAGTGGGAGCTCTTTAGTAATTAGACTTTCACTAAACAATAAAATTCATACAGAAACATAAGAGTAGAGAGTAGAACTTACCTCAATATTTTCTTCCCCAAATTTCTCCACAGCTCTCTCCTCAGAAAGCCCACAAGCACCATATTCCAAAGGAGTAAATACAGTCGTTGGAACATTTTCATAGTCACACTGTTTCAAAAAGGAGAATTATGACAAGAGAGATTATAACTGAAAAAAGGGTATGCTTGAAAGAAGCTCAAAATTAGGGGAGGAAAGCAGACCAATAAATGTCTACCAAAAGCATGGGAAGTCACAGCCCAGCTGTAACCCTACTGCAAGAGAACTGTGAGCTGACACGATGCAGCCCCGGCAGAGGTTTGGAGCCGGGCAATACTACTAGTCATGAGTAAGTAATTCATGTGATGTTAACACAAAAATATGCTTTCTCTCCTTTAATAAAGCAGCCAAAATCAATATGAGCATACCCAAATCTGATTGTCTCGTTATCGGTGACAGAAACTAATAGACTTCTATGGAAAATTAATTAGGTAATACATATTAAGAGTCAAAAAATATTTTATACCTTTGGGCCCAATAACCCCACTCTTCGACATCTGTAGTAATAACACAGAGAAAAAGCTGCATGCATTAACTGAACAATGCTGTGGTTATCCTCAATAGTGGAGTAGCTTTAAATGCAAATAAGGACATGGTTCTATAGTACATACACTCAATGTAATATTATGCAATCATTAAAATGAAATGAAAACCATAGAAACCAAAAAAGTTAACAATTCTATTTCCAAAGCGTATTTTATGTTAATAGTCATAGATGACAAAAGGATTCTGAAGTCAAAGTTGTAAAATGCTGTGTTAAGCAAATAAGTTTCTCAACTACCACATTTCTTAGAGCCTTTAATATGCTAATGTGAATTGTGAAATCTGTTATTATGTAAATGCAAAATATATATGTAAATGCTATTTGGTAAAAACCTACCTACCCAGTCACATTTACCCACAGAGGTGAGCCATTCTGCATTAAAATGATGAGAAATTGAATTCTCACCCTCTAAAATAGCAGACTGAAATCTTTAAAATGTGCCTCCCTGTAAAAATAATAAATATAATCCTTTTCCTCTAAAAAGAACATAAGCCTTTGGAACTCTGATTCAAAAGTAAAGGCAGACATCCACTTAACAGCCACGTGGTGTGCTGGGACCAGATCTACCCGCCTGCCTTGAACAACTAAAAGCAGGCAAATACAAAGCAACGCTTTTTAGACACTGGATGACAGCTCCAGGGCAGAATCCTGTAGAGGGTGGAGCTGCCCAAGGAGGACTCGAGCGAGATCTGCAGAGGGTCCTCCTCAGTCTGGGCTGAGCACTGATCTGCAAATGTGTCAGAGGAAAGGGTGAGGAAAGAGCCACTGGCGAGCAGCGGGCCCCAAACCACCAGAGTTCTAACGGGGCTGGAAACAGTTCCCGTTCCCACAGCCAGAGTGAAAAGAATTCATCATGTAAGAGGATGAAGGGCATCAACTTAGTGGTGAAACTAAATCAGCCCTAGATGAAGGGCTGCTGCTGCTTGTCCCTAAAAAAGTTTAAAAACAAGTTACCATGGGACAAAATGAATCCAATGTAACTTAACAGGCTGTCAGAACAAAGTCCAACACTGCATAAAGGAACTCAACAAAATCCAGCACCGCTCAATGTGAAATGCACAACATTTGCATCCACCCAGCAGGACCCAGACGTGCAAAGGAGCAGGAACCTGGGAACCCACACCAGGAGAAAAATCAGCCAACAGAAACAGATCCTGAAAGAAAGATGCTGCAATTAGCAGAGGACGTTAAAGGAGCTATTATAAATATGTTTTGTCTATTCAACAAGGTGAAGGAAAACATCAACTTGCTGAGGTGAAAAATTTAAGTAAATAAAACTTGTAGAGATGAAAAAGACTATTTAAGTGCAAACCACACAGAATGGGATTAACAGCCCAAGAGAGTGCTGAAGAAAAAATCTGAACTTGAAGACATGGCAATAGGTTCTCTAAGAAAATGAAGCACTGACATGGGGCAGGGTGGGGGCAAATGGACACAGGAGCAGAGCATCAGAGAACAATGAAAAAATCTCAAGTGAACCAACATTCATTAACTGGAGGCTAAGGGAAAACAAAAAAGGGGAAAACAAAAAAATAATGGAATGGCTGAAAATTTTCTAAATTTGATGAAAACTATATAAATAGATAAATCCAAGAACTGTGGTCTAAGGACAGACCACAAGCAGAATAATTATAAAGAAAAGCATGCCAAGGCATGCAATAATCAAACTGCTAAAAAACTGGTAAGAAAATCTTAAGAGGAATAAAGATAAAAATGATCGTGCACTTCTCATTACAATCTCTGCAACCCCAAGACAATGGGAAAATCATTAAAATCTCTAAAGAAACACTGTAGACCTGATCAGTGTAGCTCGGTTCGTGGAGGCATTGTCCCATACAAGGGTCACAGGCTCGATTCCTGGCCAGGGCACATACCTCAGCTGTGGGTTTGATCCTCACCTGGTAGGGGGCACGTCTCTCTCATATCAATGTTTCTTTCTCTCTCTCCCCTCCCCCCTCTCTCTAAAAGATCAATGAAGCCGTCCTCTGGTAAGGATTGAAAAAAAGAAACACTGTAAATCTAGAACTCTATATTCTAGAACTCTAAAAATATCTTCTAAAAATTAAGGCAAAATAAACTTTTTTTTTAGCCTTGGGGAGCCCTCTCCCCCTACCCCATTCCAAGTGTGTTTTTTCCTTAGGTAGGCTCTCTTAGTCCTAGGGTTTTCTTCCTCCCTTCTTCTTTCCCTCCCCCTCTTCCTTTTTAACATTTGAGATATGACTCACATACCATGAAATTCACCTTTTCAGGGTTTACAATTCAGTGGGTTTTAGTATAGTCACAAAGTTATGCAACTATTACCACAATCTAACCCAGAAAATTTCATCACCTGAAAAAGAAACTGTATCATCAGTGTTCCTCCCATTCCCCACCTTCACCCACACCTCAACTAAAATAAACTATTTTAAAAGAGAAAAACAAAAGCCAAGAAAATCACCATGAGCAAACACTCAATAACTGGTCCCACAAACCATATCTGAGTTTCAATTTCCTACAATGACTTTTTTTTTAATCCTCACCAGAGGACATTTTCCCATTTTTGTTCAGATAGAGTGGGAGGGAGATAGGGGGCGGAGAGAGAGAAACATCGATGTGAAAGAGACACATCAAGTGGCTGCCTACCGCACAACCCCAACCAGGACCAGAGACAAACTGCAGCGGAGGCACGTGCCCTTAGCGGGAACTGAACCCTGGCCTCTCTGGGCCGCGGGCTGACATTCTACCTGCTGAGCCAAACCGGCCAGGACTCCTACAGTGACTTTTAAAAACCACATTAAAATATTAACAGAACACAGTCAATATTCCAAGCTCAGAAGAAGACATGTTTTTAGAAAGGACAGGAAAATAAAGCCTGAAGACTGGTTTAAGCAGCTCTGCACACTGACATTATTACCCAGATGCCCAAATCCTTGTACATAGCCTAGCCAGGTGACATACCAAGATTTCTTAAGGTGGTAATGATAAAATTGATATAAAATGCAACTATTATGAGTATACAGATCATAATAGTGCTGAAATTTGACTTATTAAGCTCATTTTCTTAGTGTGATTCCAAGAGTGACAGTTTTCTTAATAAAGTCACAAAGGTACAGCATTCTTAACAATGTTATTTGGAATTCACCTAATAAAGCACATCCAGGATGCCATCATCAAAATAACTAAATTATTTAAGACCTCGGGAACTTCCCAACTGTCCCAACAGAGAACTGGGCGTTTTATGAAATCAGTGTCTCAGTGGATGACAGCGTGACACTCACCTTGACAGTGGAGCCAGCATACAGCCTCTGAGCCAGCAATCTTCCCGCCTGGATGGCTACTGGGGTGAGCTCCGGCTTCCCCTCCAGTATATCGCCAATGGCATAAATGTAAGGCACGTTGGTCTGCTCTTCATCCGTGACATGTATTTTTCCAGTCCTGCAAATTCAGTCAGTTAAAAATCATCATTAATTGACCGGCCGGTGTGACTCAGTGAACTGAGCCAACCCATGCACCAAGTGGTCACCGGTTCAATTCCCAGTCAGGGCACATGCGTGGGTTTCGGGCTTGATCCCCAGTGAGGGGCATGAAGGAGGCAGCCAATTGATGTTTCTCTCTCTCCCCCTTTCCTTTCCTCTCTCTCTAAAAATTCCATTAAAATTTTTTTTTTAAAAAAACATCATTAAGTATGTAGAACAAAATCCCCTTTATCCCAAAGAAGCCCAAAATTGTGACTCCAGCTGAGTGTTCTAATGTATTACCAAACAAAACAACTCAAGAGGAAATAAAAGCTTAGAGACCATTCTCGCTGCTATTTTGAAAAGTAAAGAAATAAGAAAACGATTAAGAAACACTGCAATGGGAAAACTAGAATATAGTGGTTAAAGAGTATTCTAAATTGTAATAACCAGGTCTGTTAGTTATTACCTCTGTGATCTTAGGGGAGCTATTTACCATCTCTAAGCCTCATTTCCCCTATAAATGGAAATAATGATAATGGGAATAACAGTAAGAAGAAGAACACCTACCATAAGGGGTTGTGAAAACTGAGTGAGAATTCAAATAAAACATTCAGCACAATAGTCCATGGCTCACAGTAAGCACAGAATCAGTGTTAGCTATCAACATTATATGAAAACTAAACCTTAGACCCAATTGGAAACAGGCTAGCAGGTTATGAGAAAAAAAAAACAAAGAAAAATAATCCTCACAGTAAGATCAGAAATCTCTTCTGAATAAATGTGAGTCCTGCAAGGATTAACAGTGTGCCATTGCTCCAAGCGAGCTGGCCATTCACAGCACACGCTTTTACTTGGATGTAAGAAAGGCCATGTTGGGAAATACCCCTGCCACTCCCCTAAGCAATACCAGAGTCTCAATTATCCGGTGCAGGGGTACAGTCCTAAGGATTTTAACTTTAACTTTTAAAACCTTCAAAGAAATAAAAGTTGTCGTACTTGCAGCTGTCACTAGAAATGTAGTGACTCCTCTAGTGGTCCTAAAACCTGGTAGCTTTAGACATGGTTCAAACCTCCATACCGAGCGCAGCTATCACGCACTCCTACGATTAACAGGGGATCTTTTCTGTACACATATACATTCAGGAAACAAAAAGCTCTCATTTAGTTTTTGAAAAGAAAAAAAACCTTTTTTAAATAAAACAAACAAAAAGTACTGTGAGTGGCACTGGAAGACTTTATTTCTGAGCTTTAAAAGGGAACTCTCCAACTAGAATAAAAATTAGCTTTATCTAAAACTCCAGTATTAATCAATACTATAAGTATCTGAAACAGTATTCAATAAGACATAATAAAGATTTTTTTTCTTACTTTTCATTTATCTTTACCCCCACGGTTTCTAAGCCAATTTTTCTTGTGCAAGCATCTCTTCCGATTGCCAGCAATACCTGAAAAATTAATATAAAGTGACTATTAACAGAAAGGCTTTGCATGAGTTAATCTATTTTTTTTTTTTTGCTTATTCAGCCAAACTGATTCATCCAGACCTGGAAAGAAATATTTCACTAGGAAAATAATACAAGAGTTTAAACAAATTACAATCTTTAAAAAAAAAAAAACACTTTAAACATGACACAGCAGAAATCCTCATCCATTTCTTATTAAGAAAAAGGGAGTTAACAATTCCTTAATAACCCTAAGACAAGATCAAAGACAAATACAGCATAGTCTATGCCTGAATTCAGTTATTTTAAAAAAATTAAAAGTGGTGGGCTGGGGAGTTGAAAGGGAAGAACACAGGATAGAAAAATTCCAACTCCTTTAAAAATGCTGATGCCTTTTTACAGTCATTTCCCAAACAATATTTTAAGTTACAATGGAGAAATCTGAAGTTATCCTATCACAAGTAATTAAGACATCTCCGAATGGGAATAGAACGAACCAAGGGTCGTGGAAACAGCAAACAGACATTTTAAGTTCCCAGCAAATATCCAGGGGCACACTATTTGCTTTCTAATGAAGTATTGATCTTGGTCATTCCTTACCGTATTGTACACTCCTTTGATGATTTCGTCACTGTTGGTGGACTTAGCTACCACTCTGAGTTGGCCTGGTGTCCCTGCTTCAATTTGTTCAATCTATAAAAGTGATAAATAAGGTTTTACTCCACAGTAAAGAAATGTATAAAGGTGGAGAAGTACACCCTCCCTTTCTGTCTGGTTAACCCAAAGTTAAAACACAAAATCTGGTTTGAGAGGTCTTTCATGTCCCATCTCCCTCACCTTAACATCATGAGGATGATGTGATTGTCTTATTAATCCCCTTCTCTCGATGCTTAATGTTTGCTAGAGGGACTCTCTTTTATATAGTTCTTATGCAGAAGTCAGAGAGAAAATGAAAGGGAAAGCCAGAGAAAGCAGACTACAATCCCTAAAATCAAACCAATGGCTGTGTAAGTCACCCAGAACCTCTAATGCCCTGGAGAGCCACTACTGCTCAAATTCAGAGTTCTCTAACATCTAGAAAGCCCTAAAAACCACAGTGGGCGAGGAGGTGTACATGCTCACCATCACTAGGGGTTGTCTTCAGTTGTTAAGGATGTAGGGAGGAAAGGAGCAGCCCTGGTACTTGTGCTGTGATGAGAATGAACATACTAGGCTTTGACACACAGACGTCAATGGTAACTTACAGGCTGGGTAGCAATGACTGAGAAACCCTATAACCTGAGGCTTCTACAGTATGTAGTGAACTTCTGATGTCCCTAATGACAGCCAAATCATGAGTTTCTATAAAATATTTACTGGGAGAAATCCATAAAAGTAACCTGCAATTTCTACCCTACCTTTAAAATACAACCGCCCTGTATGGGAAAACTGTCAATATTAACAGACAGTAGATTTCCTTCTTGAGCTCCCCTCCTTTCTCACGCAGTTAAGTCCCGTTGAACACACTGAATATGTCTTTCCTATTTAATTTCAGGTACAATATTCTAATCTAACTCAATTAAGTTGAGTTGGTCCATGGCTTAGATTTCCTTAGAAATGGTAAGGGCCTCATTCCACCTCTAATTCCATCCTGCCTTATTCACTTTTTTGTTCCAGTCAGGCCTTTTCTGTATGCAGGACAATTTCTGCGTTTAGAACAGTTGTATTCCCCATAACATTTTTGCTCATACTATATTCTTTGTCCAAAGTGTACAAAATGTTTGTGCAGACACAGGTTTATTTCACCAGGGATAGTCCACCCGGTTCTCAAAGGGCCTACAATTCCCCAAGTGTTAAGATGTTATAAAGAAAGATACTATTTTTCTATCAGTGTAGCAAATAACATACAGTCGTTGTTTTATAATCATAGTCCTAATGTAGATATATATTTTTACTCCCTAAAAACAGCTACAGCAATCAAGTACTGATAATTTACAAAAAATTTGCTACTTAGTCCTCACAACAATATTTTGAGACAGATTCATCTTAGACTTACTTTGAGCCAGGAACTGGCTTTCTAACTGTAAGCTAATGCTATTTTCACAAAAACTGAGATAGGTGCTTTTAGCATCCCAATTTTATAGAGGAAACTGAAGCACAGAGAGGTTGAGTAATTCCCCCAAAGTCATATGGCAAGAAACTGACAGAACAGTATTAAATCTAGGTCATTCTGACCCAAATGCTCCATGTACTATCAACACTAAGAGTTTCATGGTCACACGATGACACTATGTTAACCCACTGAGCAATTTTTAAAATGAACTAAATTTCTTAACTTGAACAGTCCCATCCTTATCTGCACTAAAGGAAACTATTAATTTGAGATACACAAACTGTTTGACTCAGTCACTCATATGTATCAAACATCTGTGGCAATGTTAACAAGTCCCAATATAACTTGGCCTATTATCCAGCTTTTTCAAAAGAAGATTAAATGAGCAAAAAAGGCCAACCCACATAACAAAAGTAGATAATTGTTTTCAGGGAAGCCAGAATAATACAGTGCATCTATTTACTGACTACACTGTACACCATGAGAAATGTCTTATGGGAAACATTTTTAAATCAGCCTAGTCTTGACCTCTTATTTAAATCATTGGTATGTATGAAGAAACAAAGTATAAACAAAGAGACCAAAGATAATAAAAGAATGCATAAAGGGAAGTGTTAAACAGAAGAGAACCAAAGGTAAGAAAGTAGAGAAGGAAATGAAGAAATTATTCTGCAAACAAGAACAAAGCTATTTAGATGGTATAGTTGGCAGGTACACATTTATATGCCAATATCACACAGTTGAGGGATTCCAGCATTCCTAATGGTTTATAAGGCTGAAAGCATGCTTCTATCACCCACCCAACTCTCTCCCAACTGTTCACATGCGTATAGAATCAACACACTTACAGGCAACTCCACTTACTTTGATTGGTACAAATTGTTTTATGAACTTGATACCATGTTCTTCCATATGTTCACCAATTTTGTTGGCCATGTCCTGGTCAAATCCTCTAAGGAGAATGGACCGTACCATAACGGTGACATCTAAACCAACGCCAGCAAGAAATCCAGCACATTCCAAAGCAACATAGGATGCTCCGACCACCAGGGTCTTACCCGGGCAATAAGGTAAGGAGAAAAGATCATCACTGAAAAGAAATTTTTATAAAAAAGAAATAGAAAAATGTTCATATGTGAATAATGACCCAAAGTAAATATTTTTATTTCTTATGAACGAGACATTTTTAAGGCTTAAAGCATTTAATTAGCTACACACGTAATATATGAGACTTTTTTATAAGGTCATAGACTCTCTCTTTCTTGCCACCCAGTTGCTTGGGGAGTAGCTCAAGCTACCGTGGCCAAGCACGGCCAACCATGTAACTTCTGACAGCAGTCCAATTCACAGTCAAACACACTGACTCTGAACCGTCTGGAACAATTCCCCACTAATGTGCTTAGTATCCTACATTTGAAAACTTAAGCCTCATCCCACCACTCAGCTCTCCAAGATGGAAAGTCTGCTACTTCTTATCTGGAATACCAATTATCAAGAGTGGGGAGAAGGATGGAGAAAACTCAACATACTGTTTTTGTAATATAAAAAGCCCACTATAAAAAAACCTGACCAAATCTTCTAGTCGAGTGAAGAATATAGAAGACATGATACTACATAAGCACCACTAGAAAATTAATTTTTTGCCTGGCTAGTGTGGCTCAGTGGATTGAGCATAGTCCTATGGACTGACAGGTCCAGGTTTGATTCCAAGTCAGGGCACATGCCTGGGTTGCAGGCTCCATCCCCAGTAGGGGACGTGCAGGAGGCAGCCAACAGATGTTTCTCTCACACATCAATGTTCCTCTCTGTCTCCTTTCCCTTCTTTCTAAAAAAAATCAATAAAGACATATTTAAAATAAATAAATAAAAACTGTTCACATACTGAAAAAAAAAAAAGAGAATGAATTTTTTTTTAAATATGAAAAGGAAACCTATTCAAGACAATGGATGCCACCTGAGCCACCCTTATATGAAGTACAAAGGAAATAAATCATATCTCCCCACCCCCAAAAAAGGTCTGAAAAAGTTAATTTATAACACAACCAGACTCCTGGGAAAAAAAGCATTCAAGAGGACATATTTAGCAACAATCTGTCTTAATGTCTTCATAATTTAAAACATCTGAAAAACAATGTCACCAGTATTATCATTTGATGGGCAATAATGAATCACTTGGCAAAACCTTGCTTGACTCACTTATTTCAGAAGGCCCGTCTACACTGACACTGCAACCATTCAAACAACAATGAAGAGGGACTAGGGTTTGATAAATCTGAATGGTCTGTTGTCATCCTCTGATTCTTTTAGTGTCCACATTGCAAGTGTTAAAGGGTAAAAGACAATCCTATGTGTATACATGTGTTATTTCACAAAATGTTTGTGACTATCCATCTGGTTTTATAAAATGCATTTATAAAATATACTCACACAAACATAAAGTTCAATATTAGCATATATCTATATGTTAGCCATGATGTAAACTCTGGGTGGTAAGATGATCAATGTTTATAGTTTTGAATTTTTTAAATACTCTCTTGTCTAAAATAATCTTTCCTTTCTCTTTTTCCCAATCCTTTGCCCTTTTGGGCAAAAATATCTGCTAAGTTCCAGGAAATGGACAAAATGGGTTTGAAGGAAAAAAGCAAAAGCATAAATCCACAATGGGTTTTTCTTTTCTCCTAGAATTTTTCCTTACCTGCTGATGCAGTATTCTTTGTCACCAGGGATGCCCAAGTAACGTGGTCTTTCACCAGTAGCAATGAGAAATCTCTCTGCTGAATAAATTTTTTCTTTGCCTTTGTTGTTCGTTGTCTACAAAGGAACCAATATGTCAGCTTTTAACAGTTCTCATACAGTAGAATTATAAACTTTATAGTTAACAAAGGCCATTCACCACATTGTCCAGTGACCTTCATAAAAAGTTGGTAATACATAAGATATTAAGGCTCTGAGTAATTAAGAGACATGTTCAAGGTCACAATGCTAGTAAGTGGCAGCCAAGACTCCAATCCAGGCAGTCTGGCCCTGAATCTAGTTCTCTTACCCTCTAGTACATCACAGAAGAAAGCCCCATAAGAAGATGTGATGACAAAATCACCACACTGGACACTCTGGGTCACCACAGCTATTACTTTCACTAGGATAATCCCCTTCTCTTTTCCTCCCCTACCTCCAAACAAAGCTTAACACAAAAAAAAAAACTCCACAGGCTGTCACATAATTACCTTAATCCTGTGAGGACCAATAAACTGCCCATATGCATTCTCATAGGTGACTTTCTTCTCCCGCAGAGCCACCCGGTAGCCCCAGTTCAGAGAGCCGATGTGATTCTGGACAGCTTCGGTCATTTTCCCCCAGTCGTGTTCAACTGCACAAGAAAACAAGACAAAACATTTAGCTCTTCAACTGCGTAGCAAAGATCATTTCTCGGTAACTATTCACATGACTACAAAGAGCAGAAGCTTACAGTCAAAAGGGCAAGTCCTTCATTTCAAGCACATAACCACCTTTTCATCTTCAAATACTCTTTTCTTTTTAGAAAACTACCACAATACTAAATAATGCAAAAGCTTCCTGACAACTCTTAAGACTAAAATAACCATTGTCAATTTTTTTCTTCCTTATCTAGAAATGAATGGAATCTCACTTTGGATTGTAAATACTGACTGCTGGGTTAACAAGGAGTCTCGGTAAGGCTTGGGAATCCATGCGTAATAATCTCTAAGGGACCCTGATGTAACCAGGTTTGGTGTTACTAAACTGGTAATAGTAGCTAGACCAGGGTCTGCAAACTAAAGCCCCATGAGCCAAATCCAGCCCATCGCCTTGCTGTAAATAAAGTTTTACTGAAATATAACCATGATCATTTATGTACATGTTATTTAGAGCTGCTTTTCATGCTACAATGACAGGGGTGAGTAATTGTGACAGAGACCACATGGCCCACGAAGCCTAAAATATCTACCATGCTGACCCCTGGTCTAGACAGAGAATTTTAAGAGTCTGTCTCATTACTTACCCCCCCGCCCCCAAATCCTCATCTCACCAAAGACAGGTAGAGTTTTAAATTCTATCATAAAATTTATCTTTTGAATCAAGGCACTAATATTTCAACAGGTAAAATTCAATCCTCTGTCATTCAGTAATTAGTAACTTATCAATGACTAGGAAAAAACAGGACAGAGATAAAATACACTCTGGTGGTAGGAAGAAGGAAGAAAAACGAGAGAATCAACATATATGAAAAGCCCTATCATGGAAATGAGGGGTCTGAGTCTCAGATTCAGGGTGAAGGAGCTCGGCCACACCAAGCCATGAGAAGCGATGGACAGACCTCTGGAAGGGGGAACAACAGCACAAAAGTTGACTGTGGCAACCTGGAGATGTCCATACATTAGACACTTCAATCACAGAATCCATAAAATGTTTGCACTGAAGCAAACCTTGAGAGATCAGTTCAATTTTTTTTTTAAAGTGACTACAGCCCTGGCCAGTTTGGCTCAGCAGCTAGAGCGTCAGCCTACGGACCAGAGTCCTGGGTTCGGTTCCCGTTAAGGGCACGTAGCTCGATTGCAGTTTGTCCCTGGCCCCGGTTGGGGTTGCATGGGAGGCAGCCACTCAATGTGTCTCTCCACATTGATGTTTCTCTCTCTCTCTTCCTCCTCCTCTCCCTCTATCTGAAGATAAATGCAAAAATGTCCTCGGGTGAAGATTAAAAAAGTGACTACAGAGACCACTGTGGTTATGATGCCAAGAGGACTAGGTACTGGGTACTAGCACCAGGTGGGGGTACTGCAGGGACCAGCCCATGGGTCTGGCATCCACTTACCACCGCTATAAAAAGAAGAAGCAGGACTCACTGTTTCTCCACCAGGAATGGAATAGAATAGTGTTAACTCACCCCCGTGTGCCAATCATCTAACTACAATTACCACCGTTTTACCAACCTCATTTCATATACCTGTTTTTAAACCAGAATATTTAAACAAACCCTAATCATCATTTCATGGTGGTGGTTTTGGTTTAGTTATAGTGGCTTAGGGATATCCAAGGGCCAGTAATGCTAAATATCCTTCACTGCAGTTCCTATAGTGAACTAGGAGCTGCCTGGCCCAACACGCCATTACACCCCATGAAGAAACAATGAACTAGATCAAAGGGAGGATTCACTTCTGACATTTTACAGCTGTAGAACTATTAAGTAGACTCCACTCTGCTAATACTACAGGAGATACCATATTCTAAAAGAACACACAGTTGGGATTAAATAATAGCACCAACAAATTCAATTATTTCAATGACAGAAATTCTAATTCAATGATTAGACCTAATTCAACCCCAATTCCGTTAAAGCCCTCCTCTGTGGCTGTCAGGTCCCCAATTCCCAAACTCCTCAAACCCCCTTTTCTACCAGAGTTCCTTCATCCTCTGATAAGTGGGCAGCCACCACCATCCATACCCAATCTCCAGTGTGATTATGCCCAGGCAGAAAAACTTTAGAAGTTCTACCACCAGTTTGGGATTCCACATCAAGGCACTCTAGCTGTTCCTATGGTCCTGGCCTTGCTTGCATTCCAGTCGGGAACTGAGCTTCTGGTCTTGTAAAATTCAAATCCCTACTTTACACACTAGTGGTGGAAACTGGATCCTTACTGAAGTATGGGTAGTAACATGCCTGGAATCCCAGTTCTCTAGGACTGCTCTGTCGTCTGATGACGCCCCAAATCCACCACCTTCCTGCATTCCCAAATATTACCTGCACTCCACATCCCCACACTCGCCCATGCACTGGCACAGCCCCAGTACTTCTGCCAGGCCTCCTGATTCCACTGGCCTGGTCCACCGGCCGTGACCCAGTGCTAAGGCTCTGGAACGCAGACTCTAGCTGGCCAGGCAGGACTTATGTTTCACCTGGGTGTGCTCTTATGCCCACTACAGCAACTGAGTCTTAAGCCAACTCTGTTGTTCCTCACCCGTCTCCAGCCCACTACAGAGAGCCAGGTCACACCCTCAGATTCGACAACAGTAATCAGACTAGCAGAACTACTTAATATCTTCAGCACATCTTCTATGTGAACTTCAAAGCACCTGAAGGGGCACGAATTACTTCCATTAGAGATACACAGGGAAATGAAGGATGGATGGCCTGCCAAGGCCATACACTAACCCGGTGGCAGACACAGACACACTGTATGTGAAACTTCAGGTGTGTGGGAGGAGTGTATATCCCCAAACTGTAATCCCCTGACTGCAAACCAATGAGCTTGCTTTCTTTGTATTGACAATGGGATTATAAAACTTCCCAAATACTTAATATTTTAAAGGTATATTTAATTCTTGCACATAGAATTCAAATAGAGAAATCTGAAAAATATAAAGCCCATAAATCTTCTAGAAAGGACCAATTCATCCAGTTTATATGACTCAGCTAAAGTAATTTTTTCGGAGGCCTCAGACTTTCTCTGTACACCCTCCATTTGTAGCTTCAGGGAGAGGGCAGATCAAAGGCTGAGTCCCAGGCACGTCACTCCCCTGTCCAAAGGCAGGTTCAGCTGCGCCACCTGGCCCGGGTCCCTGTCTTCACTCAACATGCTCGGAGCTATTTGCACTGTCAGAGAAGACAGTGTTTCCCGAAAACTGGAGCACTATTCTTTGTTCAAGGACAGGAGATTAGATGTGTTTCTACTGGAGAAATGTAAAATAAGCCTTCACGCTTTATCTGTTGGGAACATGCATCAGCAGCCGCTGGGGGTTTCTCATTTGAAAAAGACACCGCCAAGTGTCCTTCTTCCTCTAAGATCTAATGACATAAACATTTGTCTAAATCCACTGATTCTTCACCACAATCATTTCAAGCACAGAAAAGGAGGGAGGTCATTCCTGCTCCCTCAGTGGGGGATCCTGGCCGGCCACTCCTCCCAGGCCCAGATCTGGTGCTCACAGCTAGGCCACAGCTGGCTCCAGAGGGCCCAAGGCCTAATGAGAGAAACAGAACAGGACAATAAGCCACCAGGCTCCGATCTGGGAGAGTGAAGGGATTTAACCAGAGGACACAGCTCTTCAGCTCTCAAAGACTTGGGGATTATTTCTGCTGCTGACAAATACAAAGGGTGTAAGGCACAAAAATAGAAAACTATCTATTTCTACCTTAAAATCTGGAATGGGGGAAGAAACACAAAAGAGGTAAAACTGTTAAACTGATTGGATAAATAATTTTTGTAAGGATAGACAAATAAGACAACTTTGATTTAAGTTGTAAAGCCCCACGAAACTCAGGGAGGTTTTGTTGTTTTAACGCACAGAAGTGGACTATGCTTGTAGTGGGGCTCTTTATCAGCCCCACTGCAGAGCATCCGTTAGTTCCTTCTTGTATAATTTAGAAATAAAGTCAACATTTAAAAAATAGCCAGTGCTTATTATTATTACATAACAGTGACAGAAATATTCCTTTGCTGGAAAGAAGACATCAGATTTACCAAGTTATATTTTACCACCCATCTACTAGAGTCAACAGAACCTATTAGAATAATACTCAGTTGGCCCTATTAATAAAATCCACATTCAGCAGAGGCCTATACTTATCTTTTTAAGATTCTACAGACCCAGAAAGCAGCCCTCAGGAAAACTTTTAAAGTAACTGATTTTCTAAGATTCCAGACTTGGAAAAAAAAAAAAGTAGTGTTGATTTTAAATGAGAAAGAAAGACATCAATAAAGGAAGCATGACTAGTGTGAGTGAAAGCAAAATTTTTCAAAGCAAGTATGTATACCTTTTTAAAAAAAGTAATAAACTTAAACTCAAAAAAAGCCACAAAAAATATACCATAGCTACTGATCAGAAGATTTCTCATAATCCATAGATCTCAAAACTAAAATCAGACAGGGGCTGGAGTTCCCTCTCCAAGGACATGGTGACCTAGGTCACTAAATAGTCTGAAGATGTGCCAGGCCTCATGATATTCTCCTATCAGATAATATGATCTACTTTCTCGAGTCAACAAATTCCTCTTCAACTTTTCTGGGGTACTCTAAATATTTTTAATCCAACAGAAACTAACCATCCGCTTCTCAACAAACAGCCATCTCTCCACCCCCAAAATACCAGCTCATGAAAAAGACTCCTTTGAATTAAGAAAAATGCAACAGCTTCAAAGGAAAGTAAGTGTAATTTGTACTCTGTGAAACTAGCTATAATTATGAGAATTTATTTGAAAGAATTCTGGTTTTCTAATAAAGATACTCACATGCAATATCTGTTCTCACCATAAAAGCTCTGTAGCCACCTGACACAAGATAATTGCAATGATTTTATCCATTAAAAATGTGAACAATAAAAACAACTTCCAGGTTACTGCTAGTCTCTTATAAAATAGATGATGCACCGCCAAGAGCACAGCTCAAACCCCCAAGCTCACACAGAACAACAGCTTTCCCACCATACCTGTCTCCTGGACATTCCACCCGTAGTTGCGAGAGTCTCGCAGGGCTTGTCCTAACAGAGCTGCCTGGTGCATCAGCTTCTTCGGTATGCAACCCACATTCACACATGTTCCTCCGAGACCTGCAGCAACATTTGAGAAATCAGTTCGTAGCCTGCTTTACAATCCTTCAAAGAAAAGGGTCCATAATTATTACTATTCTATGAGCCATACATAATTTATTTGCTTAATGCGGCCAGCTGTTTTATACAACTTTATCCCTAAGTCTTGTGATATTTCTAAGTTCAGACAGCCTTATATACTAAACAGAGACATGCGAAAACAGATTTCCACATACTTCAAAGATTCAAAATTAACTGACTGCTGATAAAGATGCCAGAAATTGAAATTTTACTTTGTGTACAACCCCATACTGCCATTGAATCTATGAGCAGAACTACCTGATAAAGGGGTTGTGAAACTGAGCATAATTGAACTGCAGTGGGTCTGGCGCTACATAGAAAATTTGATGTATATGAGCATTTTATAAACTGTATTTTGTTACTATTTTATTATTAAGGAATCTACCTCTATGACTGTCATGAAGCCCAGGCTGGGTTAACAGTGATGTGTCCTGGAGGTAACTACACCCTACTCTGGACTTTCGGATTCTAAACACTATCTTCTCTCTCTACCTCAAATGAAAACCCAGACTCATGAGGCCTCGATCCTTGCCCTCCTAGTATTGAAAGATACCAAAAGCAACTATGTAGGAAGGCTTTTCAGAGGAGAAGACGACTCAGTCCTCCCAGAAGACAAACCCTCTACGTTGCTTTATGAGGCAGATAGCAACTCTCAACCACGGACAGGTTGGGATCTGCGCAGGCCTCAATATATGAGCATTTTTTAAAGGTGATGGTGTGGTCTTCAGCTTTCGCTGATTCTCACAAAATAATCCATTAAAAAAAAAAATTTAGCATGCCTGAGCTTAAAAGATGGCGCTAGCTGTCTCCATGAGAGTAAAATGTAGGCAGGTGGGGAAATGGACAAAATGGTATGATGTAGCTAGCTTCAAATCATCCCAACTGCCCACCCAGTGTGGTTCAATGGACTGAGCAGTGTACCATGGACTGAGAGGTCCCGGTTCGATTCCCAGTCAGGGCACATGCCCAGGTTTCGGGCTCGATCCCCAGTGGGGGGCGTGCAGGAAACAGCTGACTGATGTCTCTCCCACATCGAGGTTTCTCTCTCTCTCTCTCCCACTGTCTCTAAAAAAAATCAATAAAATATGTTTTTTAAAAATCATCATAACAGCTGTGAATAAGGTTTTGTATTATCCTGACTATTTCAAAGAACCTAAATTTTCAACATTTAACTGGAGTCCATTTTAACTTAGCGTAAGTAAAAGAGGTATATGTTTCAGTGTTTTATTATTATTATTATTGATTTTAAAGAGGGAGAAAGGGAGACAAGAGAGAAAGAGAAAGAAACATTAATCAGTTGCCTGTAGCACATGCCCCAGCAGGGGATCAAACCCGCCACCTTTTGGTGTACGGGAAGAACAACATTCAAACCAACTGAGCCACACCAGCCAGGGCTGGGGTTTTTGTTTTTGTTTTAATTTTATAATTGGGTTTTAGGAGCCATTTAAACCAATACGAAGAAAAAAACCTGCTCCTGCAAATTCACTTCTAAAATTTTTTTTTCTTTATTGATTTGAGAGAGAGGGTAAGGGAAAGGAAGAGAGAGATAGAAACATGGATGAGAGAGAACATCGAATGGCTGCCTCCTGCATGCAACCCCACTGGGGATTTGGCCCACAAGCTGGGCACGTGTCTTAACCAGGAATCAAACCAGCGACCTCTTGGTGCACAGGTCAATGCTCAACCACCGAGCCACACCGGCCGAACTCACTTCTAAAATATTTTAAAAGCTTACCCCATGTAGTTCCAATAGGAGTTGGAGTGACAAAATCCAGGACCATCACCTTCTTGTTAAATTTGGCTGCCTCCTGGAAAATAAAATTATTAAAATGATCTGAAAAGGTTACCATGACAGACTGGAAAGGAGATGTTAAAAATCCATGCTATTTTTATTAGGCTGTAATGTCTAAAGCATAACCAGTTATTAAACCTGGGTATTTCATATACCAAGATGATTAGTGCTACTTTAAGAAAAAAATAAAGCAACACTTAGATAATCCTAAGGGTGGCTTTAAGAAAATGCAGGTTACAGTTATAAAATTGTCCATCATCTGGACACCCTAGCATCCTCTTATATAGGACATTCAAAAAAAAATGTATACACTAAAAAAAGTGTAATTATGAAGCCAGTGTTTATTAAAATACATTTCATTTTCAAAATGTAACAGAATCTAGACACCCTATATACATTTTCGGGTGGCACCCCCTATTATAATTCCACTAAAAAAAATGAATTAAACAATAATATGAAAAACATATGACCATTTCTGCTGGGCCAGTGTGATTCAGTGGGTTGAGCATCAGCCCATGGACTAAGAGGTCCCGTTTTAATTCCTGGTCAGGGCACATGCCTGAGTTTTGGGCTCAATGCCCAGTAAGGGGTGTGCAGGAGGCAGCCGATTGATGTTTCTCTATCACATTGATATTTCTACCTCTCTCTCCCTTCCTGTCTCTCCCAAAAATCAATTAAAACATATTTAAAATATATATACATATGACCATTTCTAAGCAAGTAGGAAGTAGCCAGTAAAGCAGATTTACTGATAGTTTATAACCCTGGAATCAACCTGTACCCTACAATATTTTATAAAGTACTTTTAAGTTTTATGTTTCCAGACAGAATACTAGAGAAGTTTTTCTTTTGAAATTGTCAGGTCTACTAAAATTTTCACATGTGGAGGAGCCAATGAAAATGTTGATGATATCTGTAAGGTTTCCAAATCTATTTTAGGGAATGATGAGAGTCAAAAGTTTAATTTGAAGAGTATTCCTTATCTTTCTCAGGGAATATGCTTTGCGTATTGGCAACTAGACCTCCAAGGGTATTTGAAAGGACTGAGTCTGTATGTCTTCTAAAACCACCATCTCTTCTGTAAAATATATATGCCCTTGTCCTGGCCAGTTTGGCTCAGCGGTTAGAGCATCCACCCATGGAACAAAGAATCGCGGGTTCGATTCCAGTCAATGTACCTCGGTTATGGTTGGGTGCCTGGCCCTGGTCAGGGTCATGTGGGAGGCAACCAATCAATGTGTCTCTCTCACATTGATGTTTCTCTCTCTCTCCGCTCCCTCACCCCCACCCAACTCTTTCTGAAAACAAATGGAAAAACATCGATTGGTGAAGATTAAAAACAAACAACAACAAAATATATATATACACATCTCCAGTACTACTCCTTAGTCATTTATAGAAAAGCACTGCTTGATACCCGATATTGGCCTGCTCCTAATTTGGGTAGCTTCATTTGACTCTACCTTTACTGATTCCCCACAAGCTATAAGGAGTATAAATACCTCATCTTTTAAAAGAACCCCTTCAGCCCTGGCCAGTTTGGCTCAGCAGTTGAGCGTCGGCCTGCGGACCAGAAAGTCCTGGGTTCGGTTTCTGCTAGGGGCACGTACCACAAATAAATAAATAAATAAATAAGAACCTCTTCAGCAAGAATGACAGTTCCAAGGGCCCCTTCATATATGAAAAATGCATCTCATTTCAGGGCCAGAAGCCTCACTCCTACCTCCCGTATTTGTACGACCTCTATCCATCACCCCCAGACCACAGTTAGTGGCTATTCTCTTAGCTCATATTATACACAAGAGGCAAATCATTTTTACTGAGTTTAAGAAATCCAACTGCTTTCCATCTTTCTATTGGGAAGGAGAAGTTGTGCATAGGAAAATCAAAGTGAAAAAAATATTAATATTTATTAAGAATAATATATTTAATTTCAAACCATTTCCATACAAAACCTTTATTATCTTTGAAAACTCAACTAAACATTGAATGAAAATGAATCCCAAACTTACTGGGCCCTGTACTTTTATGTAAAGAACATATAGTTCAAGCTGGAAAAATGATTTATAAAGTGGTCCCCCTAACATGTCCTACCCCCAGGTTAATGTGCAAAATATCACAAGAGTGGCTCGAACAAATTCTACAGAGAATCTGAACTGCCGTGACCCAGACTAAACACAAGGAGCCTTGCCTTAGCAGCTGCCAGTCCTCCTGAGCCCCCTCCAATGATGATGAGGTCATAGTCATAGGACTCAGGAATATCCTCAGAGCCATTCATTTTTAGTAGTTTTTGAAGTCTGCCTTCTTGATAAGCCTAAAGAAGAAAAACAATGAAAGGGAAAATAATTTAACTTAAAAGTAGCAATGTCTGCAAAGTTTTGTGAGAAAACCGCTCTTCAAAGAAAAGCAAAAGCATTTTCAAAGGAAAAAATGTTGTTTGATTTATATTACAGCATACAAATGGAAACATTCAACCTCTCACATCATAGATAGCCACTTTGAAGTGTCACATAAGTAAGGTTCTGAAGGCCCAACAAAATCAATTTAGGGCCTAAATTAAGTGTGATCAGCCCTTTTATCCTAGAATTTTTAAATTAGGTTTTTAAAACATTTGTACTCTATGCTTTTAATAGAATCATCAATATAATCTGTCCATCATCTTTACTTTCTAGTCAACAGTAGAATAATGAGTGGGCTAAGGTCTTAGATGACACTAGTGGCCTCATAAATAGAAACTGAAACAGATTAGCCAAATACTTAAAACTTTTCTACATTGTTTAGGTAAAGCATAAAATCTAAAAATTCAGAACTAAATCATTAATTGACACACCCCTACATTAAAAGTTAAATGTAAGCCCTGGCAGGGTGGCTCAGTTGGCTGGAGCATCGTCCACACACTAAAAGGTTGGGGCGCACACAGGCAGCAACCGATTAATGTTTCTCTCGCCCGCCCCACTCCTGCCCTCTAAAATCAGTGGAAGCATATCCTCGGGTGAGGATTAAAAAAAAAAAGTTAAATGTAAAAGTCCCTGCTTTTGCAGGGCATTTTAAATAAACAAAAAAGGAGGGAGGAGATAAATAAATAAATACACATGACTTTATAAAGCTCATTTAACCTACCTATACACAAAGCTTCCCATAATATATTTAGTATTTAGTTTCCATGTACTTGGCATGTAACAGGCTTTGTAATACAACTGTTAGACTTTTCATTTTAAAATATTTCATTCCCCTAAATATACATATTACTTACCATTTCATATTAGCTTTGAACACTGTTTTGGTGATATATTTAATATTATCTTTTATTAAAACAAAAATCTGTGCTAACATGAGATAATGACTGAAAAAATTAACAAGCATCAAAAAATGATTTTTAGAAATCAAGTTTTAACCTTAATACAAAAAAGCCACCAAACTTACCAGCCTAGACTGTATATTTTTCTCCTGCTTACTATCAGATGTAGGGGGTGAAAGGCAGGACTTGGGGTCAGTGGAACAGGATGCTTGGGATGTGGAAGGGGGTGTAGTGGAGGAAGTTCGCAGTGGTGGTTGTGGAAGAGGAGGAGGAGGGAGAGGAGGAGGAATCGCGGCACTGTGGCTGCCCCTTGGCAGCATGGCAGGTACATAAGATGGCCCAGGGACGGAAGGCAGAACCCCTGGAAACCAGCAACAGTGGGGGCAAGATGGCATCACCCTGACCATCTGTACAAAAGGTCTAACATGAGAGGCTGGTAAACACAGCCAGTATTCATCAACTGGCATTATGGCAGAGGCTCCTCCTTCTACACAAGGCACTGTGGGGGGAAAAACAATTTGATAATAACAGCCATTCAGATCAAAGGATCAATGTAATCTTCAGATAACAACTGTTACTAGTTGGTATCAAAGAGCATAAAGCTGACTTGCTGGTCTGAATGAATTAATAAACGCAGCTAGATGTTCTTCTGGAAATTAACCATTTTTCATCTCAGCCTCATTTTATCTGCTTAACACAGATGGTGCCAGAACACAATCATTGGCTGCCTAAAAGAAAACCACCCATTCTGGTGACCACCTCCCCCAACTTATCTACTAGAAAAAAAGGAAAAAAACACTGCCATGCCACTTAATCTCTCCAACAATGTTTATAATCTGTTCTGTACTGAAATTCTGTATCAGACCTGGGTTCTTATGGTCCAAGGTAAAAGTCAAATTATATCAACTAGTAAACAGACTTTACACAGAAAGTTCTGAGTGACCCTGAACATTTTTTTTTAATCCTTACCCCAGGACATTTTTGCATTTATCTTCAGATAGAGCGGGAGGGAGAGAGGGAGGAAAAGAGAGAAAGAAACATCAGTGTGAGAGAGACAGTCACCACTCACATGACCCCAACTGGGGCCGGGGACAAACTGCAACCGAGGTACGTGCCCTTTGCTGGAACCGATCCCGGGACTCTCTGGTCCGCAGGTCGATGCTCTAACCGCTGAGCCAAACCAACCAGGGCGAGCCTGAACATTTTTAACTGTGTAAACTCAGTAAGTAAGACAAAGGCAACTGAAACATTCGGCTGATCCCAGAACTAAACTTGATGTCTTTACATTTTAATCTAACTTAAAGTGAAATTGCTGTCCTTCAGCTCCAGGCAAGTGGTTTCCCATCTGAAATATAAATAAGATAGACAGAAGACAGCTCCCCCAGGCAATATAAGAGAGGAGCATATAGGTGGGATAAGGAGACAGAAAAATGCTTCCCACTTTCTCTAATTACTACTGCTAGAAATAGTGGCTGCTGATCAGAGTAGCTGATACCAAAGAGTTCTCAAACTTTTTAGTCTCAGGATCCCTTTACAACCTTAAATTATTTAGGACCCCAAAGAGCTATGGTTAATGGGGTTTATTTATAATATTTAGCATTATTAAAACTAAGAAAAATATTTAAGTTATTAAAATATTAAAGTTGTCAATTTACTTAAAACATTTTTAATTAGCAAGAAGAGTGGCATTATTTTATATCTTTGTAATTCTCTTTAATGTTTGTCTTAATAAAAGGCAGCTTGTATCTTTTCTGTGTTCACTCTGTGGCAACATCATTTGTCATGTATGTAGCCTCTGAAAAACTTCACGGTAGACTTGCAAGAGAATTAGAGTAAAAAGGGCAAACAGCATCTTAGTATTCTGAAGATATTTTTGACCTCAAGGACTTCCTGAAGGGGCCTCAGAAGCCCCTAGAGCAGTGGTTCTCAACCCTCCTAATGCCACGACCCTGTAATACAGCTCCTCATGTTGTGCTGACCCCCAACCATAAAAGTATTTTCGATGCTATTTCATAACTGTAATTTTGCTACTGTTATGTCTTAGGCAACCCCCGGTTGAGAACCGCTGCCCTAGAGGAATCCAGACCACACTGAGAACCACTGCTATAGGACACAGTGTAAATAGGCAACACCTCACCTGCAGGTGTTTGCCCGGCTTACACACTGGCTACTCTTCCTCTCTTCCACCTGCCTCTCAGCAGTGCTTTCCCTCATCCCAGTAAAAACTACTACAGATTCCCCTTAAAAAGGCCAAAACAATTCAAGTGTGCAAAAATACTGCAAGCAATACGTGTGTGCAAAAAAAATACCAAAAGCAATTCAAGTGTACTACTGGATTTCTTGAAAATTAGAATAAGCAATCTTTTTTTTTTTTATCCTCACCCGAGGATATTTTTCCATTTTTTGTACAGATAGAGTGGGAGGGAGAGAGAGAGAGAAACATCGACGTGAAGGGACACATCGAGTGGCTGCCACCCGCACGACCAACCAGGGCTGGGGACAAACTGTAACCGAAGTGCGTGCCCTTAGCGGGAACCGAACCCGGGTCTCTCCAGACCGCAGGCCGACGCTCTAACCGCTGAGCCAAACTGGCCAGGGCAAGAATAAGCAATCTTTATCTGCACTCTCCCCCCCAACATAATTTCTCTCTTTAGACACAGATTTATACTGGGTTTTCTTACCATTATACAGGAGTTCTGGTGTTGAACTGACTTGGGTTAAATAAAACACTTGCTGTACTGCTCTCTACACTAGGTGACTTGGACTAATTGCCTAGTTCTTAGGAGTCTCCTGTCTTTTCCTTTGTAGAGTGAAGTTAACATACTCCTGTAGCTCACCAGACTGCAGAGTTTAAATGAGATAATACACATTAGCACAGTTGCTGAAAGCCTTTACCGGACAGTGTCTAAGTTGGGTCCTCCCCTGGGATCCCACTGGCATCACAGCCCCATTAACTCTGCAAGGACAGGCATCTTGTCTCTCGTCTCTGCATTACCAGTGCCAACTTTGCATGGACATGACAGTCAAAAATATTTTTAGAACAAAAGACCTGGGTGCTAGTTCCTACTCTCCTATGTATGCTGAGAGGCTGGGTTATAAAAGTGTGGAAAAATACTGAAGTATAAAGGGTACAGCAAAGTGGGATCAGAGCCTGGATTTAGTAGTTCACATCTGAACCTGACTCTGCAGTTATGTGTGATCTTAGGCCAGTTCCTCAAATTCTCCTGCCTGGGTTCCTTGTTTGCAGAGATTCTATAACCCACCAGGTGCTTGCTTGTTTCCTTTGAAATCTGACTGCTGTGTTGCTGACATGCTACAGCATCCACTGCACCTCAAGCCTCTTTGTGTTTTAGAGGATTGTAGGCCAGGAAGAAATAACACTAAATAGTGGTTTAAATGCTACAGACCTTCTAGAAGAGACTGGGCCCTAGACTTATGACACAAGTTGGCAAACTACAGCCCGTGGGGCAAATCTAATATGCCATTTTTTTTTCTTTGTACAGCCCCTGAGCTAAAAACAGTTATTAACATTTTTAATGATAAGATAAAAAACTTAAGAGTGATATTTCATGATAAATGAAAATTAAATGAAACTCAAATATCAGTATCCATAAAGTTTTGTTGGAAAACAGCCATGCCCATTTGTTTCCATTGGAAACTAATACACCCACTAAAATATAAATTCCATGAGAGTTGGGTCATATTCTATACACTTTTTCCCCTAAAGCAGTGCCTGACACAGTGGGCACTCAAGTAGTTGTTGAGTGAATTCACAAAGCACCAGTTCCAATTAGCTTGGCAATGGATTTCCCAGAACAAAGAAAGTCATGGCTAGACTTAAGAGAAATAAACAAACCATGACAGAGATAGCACCACGGAAGGAGGTGGCAGCATGGATTTTCTAACCCTGATCTAGAGAGTGAGGCACTAGTATGAATGTACACAATGAGCCAGATAGATAGATTCCCATTTAATCCTCACAAGTCTTCCAAGCAGAAGTCTTTCCCATTTCAGAAATGACAATATAGAAGCCCTTAGAGATTAAGAACCTTGCCTATGAGTCAAGAATGGAACCCAAGTCTGTATGATTACAAATCTCTTGCTTTTCTCACTACACCATACCGTTATTCATATTTTAAAGTACTTGTCAGACACATGCTCTAGTTTTATCCTTACTGTAAACTTGAGATGGGTACTATTCCCAAAACCTAAGATTTACAGTTTCAATAATTTGCCCAAAGTCTCTACTAGAATGTTAGAGGGTCAGGATCTGATCCAGGTTCCTTGAAAGTGATTGTTACATAATAAAATTCTAGTAAAAAAAATTTTTTCCCATAATATCCTCAAGTTCAGTTGATTTTACTGAACCTCTGAAATTTAAGCTAATCTAACTATATTGGTGGCTTGGTTGATACCTAATCTCTATAATTAAATTATCTATTGGTCAATTCACCTTTTTCTTCAAGTTAAGCAAGTAGTCATTTTAATTTCAAAGTAATGAGGCAACCCAGGTATTGTGACAACCAATAAAAACAAAAATAAGTGATCAATATGATTCATATTTTAACAGCTATAACTGTAGAGAAGACCCAAACCTTCACTTTCTCTGTTAATGCTTTTAGTCATCACTAAGTCTCAAATACTCTTCGTAAAGATACTAAGCATTTAACAGAGCAATCTGGTAGCAAATAAAGAACTGAGGCAAGCCCTGGCCAGTTTGGCTCAGCGGTTAGAGTGTCGGCCTGCGGTTCGGAGAGACCCGGGTTCGGTTCCTGATAAGGGCGCGTGCCTTGGTTGCAGTTTGTCCACGGCCCTGGTTGGTTGTGTGGGTGGCAGCCACTCGATGTGTCCCTTTCACGTCGATATTTCTCTCTCTCTCTCTTCCTCTCTCTCCCTCCCACTCTATCTGAACAAAAAATGGAAAAATGTCCTCAGGTGAGGATTGAAAAAAAAAAAAAAGAACTGAGGCAAGATTATTTTATCATTTTAAGAGTATCTTTTCCTCAAACAGCAAATCTCTGGAAACCAAGGAACTCAGTTGGTAGAAACACACTAAAGTTAGGATCAGCAAGACCAAAAGATGCTTTCCCAACTGCTAACTTTTTAAAAGGGTGGTAGACACCGGGAAGAGTCACAGCATTCCTTCAAATTTTTGTGAGAACCTGTCTATATTATGAACTGTGGGGAAGGCCAAGAATCGTGACATGCAGAATCTCCACTACCAAAGAGTTCGTTTTCTAGGAAAATAAATGGCCAAGTTTCAAGAGAAATTTCTATTTCTGCTAACAACAACAACAAAAAACCCTTCACTATTATTAGTAAAGAACCTTCCCCCACTCATATAGGATCTCTCCTCTCAATCTTTTTTTTTTTTTTAATCCTCACCCGAGGATACTTTTCCATTTTTTGTACAGATAGAGTGGGAGGGAGAAAGAGGAAGGGAGAGAGAGAGAGAAACATCGACATGAAGGGACACATCGAGTGGCTGCCACCCGCACGACCAACCAGGGCCGGGGATAAACTGCAACCGAAGTACATGCCCTTAGCGGGAACTGAACCCAGGTCTCTCCAGACCGCAGGCCGACGCTCTAACCGCTGAGCCAAACTGGCCAGGGCTCTCCTCTCAATCTTGATGTCATTCATTTAGTCTTTGGATTTCCCCTCCCCATACCACACTAGACTTAGTAGGAAAATGTATCATTGCTATGCAAAATACTCATCCACTTGCCAAATAATGTTTAATGGCAAAATCCACCAATACCAAAGATTAAATTCTTATAAGGATCAAAAAAAGAAGGTTATAGACATGCTCACAGCACCTTAAAAATTATTTATTTAAAGACCTAAATTTTTGTAACTTCCAAATAAGGCATTAATTTATATTTTTAAAACAATTGAAAGTAATAAAAAGAAAACAGCATTTATGGCTTTATGAATAAATTAATCAATTATTTCAGTTTAAATAGAAACAGTTTTCCAGGCATTTAAAGCCCTATTAAAAAATGCAAAACTGAATTGGGAACAAATGTTCAAGGCTATTACATAATGAAACATCACTGATTTCTGAAGGACAAACTGTGTACTAGTAGAAATTACAAAGAGAAACTAGGGGCCAGAGAAGAAATTAACTAAGTAGATAAAGACTAGAACTAGATGTTAAAAAGATTTTGTTTCAAATAATCTGACAAAAACATCTTCTACATCTAAGGATAGAAACAGACATGGTAATTCAATTTTTTCCCAGTTTAAAATTCACCTCAAATTGTTTTCAAAAAGATCTTACGGTTCTCTGGTGCCATAACTTCTCACAATTCCATATATTTAGCTTCCATGTCCTGTGCCTAGTATACCCTTCCTATCTGTGACAATTCCTACTCACCTTTCAGCACTTAGTTGATGCCTCACCTACTACAGTACTCTATTTCTTTTGAGTCTAATCACAGAATTATTTAGCACATGGATACCCACTAATTAATCTTACTGAGCACTCCTAGCAACGAAGCAAGGACCTGTGTTACTTTGTTTTGTTTTACAGTGTATATCCACTGCCCTAAAGATGATCTTTCTTTACCATTTTTTTCACCCACTCTTCCCCAACCTGGTTCCCTGTAACAGAGGAACACAATATCAGAGCATCATAACTGAATTTTTTAAATTCTCAAATACCCACCCTGGCCGGTTTGGATCAGTGTGGTTAGAGCGTCAGCCCACAAACCAGAGTCCTGGGTTCTGTTCCCGCTAAGGGCATGTACCTTGGTTGCAGTTTGTTCCCAGCAGGGTTGGGGTCGTGTGGGTGGCAACCACTCGATATGTCTCTTTCACGTGGATGTTTCTCTCTCTCTGCTGTTATATCTGAAGATAAATGCAAAAAATGTCCTTGGGTGAGGATAAAAAATAAATAAATCATCAAATACCTTTTAATTTATGAAATTTGGAACTGATTTTTATTAATAAAGTCTTAAAGGGTATTCAAAAAAATTTTCCATGAAAACGTCAGTGATTTTTTTAAATAACAGGTAACTTTATAAACTATCAAGAAAAATACACTGCACAACAAGACAATTTCTGATGTTCTTGAAAATATTTTCCCACTTTGTAAGAGATACAATATGTGCTTCTGTTTGGATTTTACACTGTATTTTGAGATATTTTAGAAAAGCAACAAATTACACCTTATACCAAGAACAAATATATTTAGTAGGAGTTTGTGATCATAGCCTCTGAAATTTCAAAAGTCGCCACAATATTTTTCCAGTCCTGTAAACTCAAAGATATAACTCCTTGTTTCCTGCCATGGGCACTGGAATCATTTCCCTCACCCACTTGGTTAATATTAATTGGCTCTAATATTGGCAGCCTGTCTTGGTCAAGACTTATTCTTGCAAAACCATCCCTTATAATGAAAGAAACATAAAATATATTCTCCACAGTACGAGAAAAAGAATTTGGATCAATCACAAACTCAAAATAGGAAACAGGAGTGTCTGGATACTTTCGAAAGTACGTCTGCAACAATCCCAAGATTCTTTCTACTTCTTTTTCTGTCGCTTCTTGATTGCTACCCAGGTCCAGCTTCCTCAGCTTTGTAGGCATAGCCCCCGTTTCTTCCAGTTTGTGAGCTTTCTTACGGCGTCCAGATCGCCGCTTTCGCGCAGAAGACTCTGACTTGAAGGATCCAAAAATGAAGTGGAAGGTTTCAGCTTGCACTGTCCAGGAGGTTGCTTCCTTGTGTACTGTCTCCCAGAAGGAAAGAGCTATGTTGTCATCACAACCACTCAACTCATGTTCACCAGCTTCCATCCAGTTCAGACCCACAAATACAAACAGAAAGTCACAAAATGCTACTTGATTAAAAAAGCTCATATCAGAGTTTAGCTGCTTTGCTTTTTCTTTACCCAAATCAGAAGCCAAAACAAGAAACTGGGCATCCAGAGCCGCTTCTCGCGTCCGACTCACGGCGTCGAACAGGACATTGGCTTCCTCGAGAGCCTCGGTCAGCGAGTCGCTCGCCGTGTTCACGATGTCCTCCCGGTTCTGCTGGACGCTGTGGATGAGCTGCCGGTACTGCCTGCGGATGCTCCGGCATGCCCCCTCGTCGGCCACCAGCCCGAGGAGGGTCGCGGCCCTGGGGGCCTCCCCGCAGCCGAGGCCCGCAGGGCAGCTGTCCGAGCGCTCGTCGGCCCCCACCACTTCCAGCTTCACGGGTCCCTCCTGGTCGGCCTGCTTCACAGAGTGCACGCCCCTGGTGAAGGTGAAGGTACGCACCCCCGGCTCCTGTCCTTTCTCTTCGCCTCCCCTCAGGGAATCCTTTTCCTCAGACATGTCGGTGACGGGGGAGCTCAGGCGGTGCTCCGCTCACAGCTTTGGCGGCGTTTCGGACGGACAACGCGGCAATTAAAGGGGTCAGTCAGAGCGGAGGAAGATGTCTGCCCATGCGCAGTGGTGGCAGAGCCAGGACGCCCCGCCCCCAGCCTGCCCCGCCTCCAGACAGTCCCGCCTCCAGACAGCCCCGGCCAGTGGAGCCCAGGCGCAGCGCTTTACAAAAGAGCCGTGGGCGCACGTGCACACAGAACGCACGCAACAATGGGTCCCAACTGCACACGGAAAGAACACCCGTACTGTCTAGCGTTTACTGACACTGCCATCTAGCTTTCCAAGTAACAGCTGGAAGATCTAGGACAAAAGTGGGGGGAAATTTAAGGTCCTGCACTTTAAAACATTTGCTGTCACATACTTCAGTTAGGTTGACCTTCGTTTTTCATTGTTACTAAGATGAAAAGGGGTTTGTTTATTTATTTATTTATTTATTTATTGAACTAAATCTGGCTAGGTTATAAACTGCCCTTAAGGCCAAGGTGCATGACTGTAGAACCTCTATTATAAATATTACAAATAGGCTGAACTGTCAGGGTTCATTTTGCAAGATGGTTGTTTGTAACCCAATTCTTTATTATACAAATGTAAATTGAGTCAATTACCTTTGTATCCCTCTTAAGCCCTCCAAAGCCCAACCCCCTCCAACCTACCTCAATTTAGGGCTAGAGGAAGCTGGAAGATAGAGAGGGGGGTTATTACTCAAGCAACCTGCCACCTTGGTTTGGTTCACATCTAAGGGTGGAAGAATAAATGAGGTGCAGTCTCTGCAAGAGATATTTGAAAGACTGAATGGAGAGAAAATCTGAACCCTAAAAGGTGAGCAAAGCTATGAAGATTTTAAACACAATCTGTCATAAGGATATGCAAGCAAATGCTGTATATCGTGTGACTAAATTGGAAAATTCACCTACTAGTTCACTGGGAATTCTAGTACAGCTGGAGAAAGGGCTCGGCCCAGCTGTCACACAAGCAGCAAAGTATACATAACATTGGAAAAGAATAATTTTGTTTTTGAAGATAATATGCCCTCAACCCACAAGATCAAAAGCTTTTGATCACTGCAACAGGTGCTCCTTTCAAAGGCAAGAGGGAGTGGAGGAGAGAGAAAGAAGGGAGAGAGAGAACACACCACACTTCACCTATCAGCTCTGGTTTCAAGGCACCAGGAAGTAAATTAGCCCTACCTTCCTTCCTTTACATCTAAACCAACCTTCCTTCCTTCCTTCCTTCCTTCCTTCCTTCCTTCCTTCCTTCCTTCCTTCCTTCCCTTCCTCTTTCTTTCCATTGCAGAATTTACCTTTACTGTTTGGGAAGTGGGAGCTTTTAATACAATTGGGAAGTGGAAGACTATAAAGACTGTTCAGATTCCCAAACTGGGATACATGTTGTAATTGTTCATTTTTCTTTTGACATTAGCAGAAAGTTTCTTGCAAATGTATGAACAGCATTATTACTCCAAAAGATTTGTATTACTAGCATTCACCATTATTTCTTTAAGTAAAGGTAATTCAGGAAGAAGCATGCATTTTTTCAAAAACACCATGCATTATGGTTAGTCTGTCCTATGGTGTTAGCTTCTCTAAAGCAAGAATCTGGTATTAAATCTTCCAAGCAAAGCTGTTTTCACATTGATGTATTTTGAGTATGCACATTTGAATGTATAAATGAATGTAGATGAAAAATGTTGTTCTGGGACCTATTGCAAGTTACTTAGCAGCAAGAGATTTAATTTCAAAGATTAGTTTGAGAGATAGATTCTACAAATTGAAAATAAAAGTTGACTGCTTTTCAGAAAGTCAGCCTTATCCCTTCTCTAAAATAAAAAAAAAAAAGGAAGAGAAAAATAAAGTTGGGACCCAGGATCAACAAAGGGCCATATTTCGCCAAGTCTGACCAATTACAAACTAATATTTAAACCTGTTTTAAATCTTAGATGAAAATATACAGCTAATTCCAAGTCCCAAATCCAAAAATGTTTGCTTTTATAGTTAACCATAGTCTTGGGAGTTTCTGATACCCACTTCCAATTCAATAAAAGAACTCCAAAAGATAAGCCAACCTTCCCATCCTAAGGTGCCTATTTTCTTCTGGCTCAGAGAAGGGAAAACAGGCTGATACCAATTTGCTTCATACAGAGCCTTTCATCTAAGAATCTCAAAATGCTTTAGAAAAGTAAATTATTTTTCCTAACCTACTTATAAAGTATTACTAATACTATTTATAGGGATTTCTCAGGAGATAAACAGCCCACACAATTTACTTGAAGCAACAGAACACTTTAAGACCAGCATCATATTATTAAGTTGTGATTTCCAGTGCTGAATTCATTCTATGCCAGATCCCTGTGCCTAAGAAACGTTAGTAACTTGTAACTTAAATCATCATCAAAAAGCCATAATTACATTATATTCTACCTTCTTAATCTGCCTTTAGAGCACAAGGTTCAGATGTAGCCTCAAAGTAAAAATTTCACACAAAGTGGGAAATTCTATACTTGTGAACCCTTAAATCACTAAACAGTGACTTTCTAACCTAAGGTCAAATTACTGGTAATAATTATATAAATGCCACTTAAAAAGAAGGAACAGCAACACACTATTTCATTATACTGGTAAACTTCTCTGTGATTTGTAACAGAAAGCAAAAATGTACTGGTATTAATTCAGACAACCAATGGCACAGCTTGGCCTCCAATATAATTTAGCTCCTCTCCTCCCAGGACTTGCTGCCAAGGGCTCAATATGGTCCTCCATTTCTTTTCTTCCTTTCTTCAGTTTATCTTCCTGCCTTATTCTTCAGTCCCTTTGCTAGTAGTTCTGATTCATTCACTCCAAACATTCTTAAACTCTGTCCCACAACCCCCAGCACTCAATACAAACATGATAAGATATATGTCATAGATTATAGGTCTCTCTCTGGCCAAATAAAAAAACTCACATAGGGTCCACTATCTTTTCCAGTGGGATTTTATTTCAGTATTAATCTATACAAACAGATGTTTAAGAGTTTGAGTCCTGCACTCTAACAAATAAGACCTATCCTTCATCTAGCTATCTCCCTACCTCCCTACCTCCCTTCTTTCAGAGCAGTTTTTCTCCCCTCATCTTGCCATGGTATCTAATATTGAGCACTGAAAAGATGTGGTAAAAGTCCTAGCTTGATTGTCAGAGTTGCAGGATGCTAGGTATAGTTTCTTTTTCTTCTTCATTTTCTTTAAAGTTATGTTTCCGAGTATATATTTTTGCTTTGTTTGGTTCTTTAGTATTAAAGGTAAACTTTGCTATGACCAAGGCAGATATCTATGTGTTTTTTAAATGAATTTCTAAAAAGACCATGAACAGTGAGTGAAGGAGGCAAACCTGGGTTCCAATCCTGATCTATTAGCTATTAGTGTTATCTAAGGCAGTTTGCTTAACCTCTCAGATTCCAGTTTCTTCATCTGTAAGAAGGGACTACTAGTACTTACATCATAAAGTTACTGCATGTTTTGAATGAAAATTATGTGACATATTTGACAGTATTTCAACTGTAGGTACTTAATAAATCTTAAATTATCCCAAAGATAGGAAATGTTTAGTAAACATTAGACATCAAATAGAAAAATATATATACACAAACCAGTAGTTTTACTCCTTGATGCCATTTTAGGACCAGAAAAATATTTTAAAGGTTAAATCTATAAGAAGGAATACAAAGAATATCCCACTATAATAAATACCAGTGAAAAGAAATTTACATATAATAAAGTTTTAACCTAAGGCTTCAACTAATGGAAATGCGTACAGTACTTTGACAGGTAAACCTTTCTACTAGATCTTCGGAAGCAGGTCCACAAAGAGACTATACGCAAAATTATTTATGTATATTTTTCTCATGAATGGCTCCTTGGATTTCAGTAGATTCTTTTAAAAACACAGTATGAAAAAGAAGCTTTGAATAACTATTCTATATTCATATAATACTGCTTTAGTATCAGTGAAATAAAAGATAAAATGACAGTCAAGTCCCACAAAATAATTTGGAGCTATTCACTGAAATATTTCAGAGTACCTCCACCCTTGCCTGGCCAGTGTGGCTTAGTGGTTGAGTATCAACCCATGCACCAAGAGGTCACTGGTTCAACTCCCAGTCTGGGCACATGCCCAGGTTGTGGGCCTGATCCTCAGGAGGGGCATGCAGGAGGCAACCAATCGCTGTTCTCTCTCATTGATGTTTCTCTTTCTCTCTCTCTCTCTTTCTCCCTCCCTCGAACTTCCTCTCTCTCTAATATCAAAAAAGAAAAAAAAAATTTTTTAACTTCCACCCTTACTCTATGGTAACAGGCATACACTTAACTATTTCAAAAAACCCAGTGCCAACTGACTTGCCAAGCCTCAACAACTAATGTAAACAAGGGTGTGACATTAGGACAACAGAACCTTTCAGGTTATAAGAGCAATTATCAATTCTCTTGGGACATCTCAGTAGTCAGCAATGACCAAGAACACTGTTTTGACAGACTACGGTAGGAAAGCAATGGGTATGTAGAATTCTGCTCTGTAGGCCTGGGTTCAAATCAAAGCTAGTGCTTTATTAGTTTCCACTTATTTTCTCCAGAGTTTGCATTTCCTCATCTGTAAAATGAGTCTAGTGAATGTCTTCTCTGTCACAAAGTGGTTGTGACTCTCGGTAAAAAGTCATATACAAATTTTTGTTGACAATTTTAAAGTACATACACTGCCCTAAAGACTTGTTGGAGATAACAGTGCCTAGCTCAATGTCAAAACCACAGGTGCTCAATAAATAGTAGCTAAATAAATAGACTTACTGTGACTTTCTTCTCAATTGACCTGGACACACCTGCATAGACTGATGAACGTGGACAACACTGCTATCACACAGCTCTTTAAAATCCTGAACTGCTTTATATGTTTCCTAGACTCTCTCCTGAACCTCTTACGGCTTAGTCTCTCATAAAGAGGGTCCACCTTCACAAAATCAGACACCCTGTAGCTAAACATCTCACTTAGGTGAGTCTCCTCTAGCCCTACCATCATCCATTCATTCAACAAATATTTACTGAATGCACACTAGGTGTTAAAACACAGAGAAGGTATAAAAATAAATCATTTTCATCCTAAAGGAAGCTGCAATTTAGTAGGCACAGAGGAATGCTGTTCCACTCAGCAAGCGCCTAATGAATGAATTCCAATTTGCCAGAGCTATGCTAGGAATACCAAGATTTGCATGAGCTCAGCCCTGAAACATGAGCACACCATCACACCAGGGAGATCAGGCATGTATCCCAATAGCAATAACACAAAACCAAGTGCCAGAAGTGTGAGTACACCAAAGTGAACTTTATAGATAGGCCTGGGTTCCATTCCTGGCTCTGCCACTTAACTAGCTGTGAAATCTGGGCCTCCATTTTCTCATATGTAAAACTAGATGACCATCCACCTCATTCATAGGACTAATGTGAGGATTTAACCAACTAGGTATTACAGCATTTAGAGTCAAGCACATGGCAGACATTCAATAAAATGGTAGCTACTATCATTAATAAGTATGTCTTAAATATTTGCTGTGCTCTATCTAATATAGACCTGGGAGCACAGGCACAGAGAATAAGACTAACTCTCTACTTTTGATATGGAGGTAAAAAAAAAAAGTCATTGGTAGGTTCCTCCTTTTTCAATGAGAAGGATTTGTGGGAGTGCTGTGGGAGCACATGGGGGGAAAGAATAGGCAAATCTGGCCTTGCACCTACAAAACAGGCGGTTGGAAAAGTGGGTTTGAGAAGGAAGTCAGGAATTGAAATAAAGAACAGCCCGGCCAGTGTGGCTCAGTGGATTGAGCATCGTCCCATGGACTGAGAGGTCCTGGTTTGTTTCCTAGTCCATGCCGGGTTGCAGGGTTGATGGGGGGGGGGGGGGTGCAGGAGATAGCTGACTGATGTTTCTCTCTCTCCTTTTCTCTCTAAAACACATCAATAAGAACATTAAAAATAAAATAAAATACAGAACAAATAAAGAAGAGAACAAAAAAGGGACATTTGGGGAACCATAGCTGTAACAGTTTCCCAGGAGCTTTCTGTAGGTGAGGGAGCACAGCAGAAAATAACCAGAAAAGCAGGTGGGGCCCAGGGCCTTGAGGACACAAAACACCTAAGAACGGAATGTGCATGTTATCACAGATGCAGATCTGGGGGCATCAAAGAAGCAATCAGAAAGATGACTCTGACTGGACACAGGGGGATCAGAGTGGAAGGCAAGTTAGAGACTGGTGAAATGCTTTGGGCAAGAGGAAATGAGTACCCCAAATAGCCTGGCCAAAGTTATTAGAATAGAGGTAGTAGGCACATACTTAGGAAGCAGTCAGGCCCCAGTACCGAACAGACAGGAAAGGCGAAGAGGAAATCTGAACCCTGGAACACCAGAATAGTGACACATACCATAAAGGAACAGCCACACAGCAAAAAGAAAGGTTTGTGTTGTGTGAAGTGGGAGGAGGCGGCACTGGGTCTTAACATGGATTCACAATTAGTAAAAATTTTACTATATAATCAGGACCAGATAAATTTATTTGCAGTCTTAACAATCTATGCCCCTAAAAAATCTTGTTAGTCCTTACCTCTTTCCTTATTCTTAAGTAAACCAGAGCCTGTTCACTTCTCTCATCTTCAAAACAGTCCTTGAATTCTCAGGCTTCAATCTTAACTAGGCCAAAGGCAGGCACACTGCTCATCCCCCCAGATGGCGTTGTGTCAGAGGAAAGGATCAAAGGAAATAAAGTTTTCTGCCAATTTTGGTAAAATATTAAGAGGAAGGGAATGGTTGGACAGTACTAAATTACCACTCATCTCCTGGTGTCTATTCAGCTGAGAGTCTTAATTCTGCTAACTCTAGAAGTTCGGCTTGAAAGAGAGACCTGCCTTTGTTTCAGTGTCTACCCCTCTTCATGGCTGGAAGATGGGGCTACCGGACCGACCACTACATGATCACATCTGAGCTCCTCCCACAACTGTTTCCGTAATTCACCTGGATTGGTAATCATGCACTGATTTGTGTCAGTCATCTATCCTATTACTGCTTTGAAGAAATTAAGTCCCATGTTGCCAGTTTTAGTCTTATTTCCCAAAACTACTACCTCAAACTACTAAAGTGTTAAGTATGTCCAGCACTTAGTATTCCAATAAGCACTTTTTCATTCACTTTGCTTTTCCTCTCAAGATCACCAACAGGCATTTTATACCAGTGGTTTCAATGCTCTGGAATCTTGGAGATACTGAATTACATAGAAAGTTCCCTATAAAGAATACTTGCATTCTTGCCCTTAAGAACTAAAATGTTCATGAAAGCCAGATGTCTTTGAGCAATAGGCACTATTTATAGTTCTCAGAATTTAATAGCTCTCTAGTTCTAGTTTTACAAATGGACACACAAGTCCTAGCCACAGACGCGTATTTCCCTATTTTTCTATTCAGGTATAAACTGTTACTCACCTACTGAATTACCATTTGCCATCTTCTATTATATTCTGAGTATTAAAGAGTAGTCCTCCGTTTTCCCCACTTCTAATTATTTAGCAACTTATCCTGACCAAACTACCTTATACAATAAAATTAAGTCCCAAATTTGGTATTTATCATAAGAATTACCTGAAAGGACTTATTTAAAAAAATAAAATAAAGGCAAATCCTAGCCCCGTCCAGAGGGCTTATTTAGCAAGACCTCAGGTAAAGCCCAGACATGCATGTTTAATAAGCACTCCAGAAAATTCTGTGCAGGTGGTCCGCAGACTAGTTTTTTAAACTTCTTTAAAACCTTCTTCCTGCCCTGGCCGGTTTGGCTCAGCAGTTGGAGCATCGGCCTGTGGACCAGAGAGTCCTGGGTTCGGTTCCCGCTAGGGGCACATACCAAAAATAAATTAATTAATTAAATAAAATAAAAAAGAAAGTTTGCTCTAACAAAAAAAAAAACCTTCTTCCTCATCTAAGCTTAAGAGTTCTTTCCAATAGGAGTCTCACTCCCTTGTCTTCTATAGTAAGTACATTGAAAGCAAGGCGAGTTCTGCTGTTGCTGCTGTTATTTATTGGGGGGTAAAGGAGATGAAGAAACTATCAAGAGGAGAAAGGAGAAGCAGACATTTGTAAACACTATCCATTATTTATGTTGTAGAGTATGAAATCTTAACCTTTTTTAAAGTGTGGACTTTAGGACTTTAACACTAATCCTATAAGCACTCAATTCTCCACTAAATAAATGTCTTTCTCCACTCAAACCCAATGCTCCTTAAGGATTTTCAAAACCCACAATGTAAGCAATAATTGACTAGAAATTCACAAACATTTCAAACCAGTGGCCCTTACCTTGTTGTGTCCCTTCCTCCATTACTCAGTACTCATTTAAAAAACAAAAAAATAAATCAAATGATTCAAAGTTAAGTGGTAAGTTTACTTAAAAGAGATGTGCTGAATGATTAATTGGTGACTTGGTGCTATGCTTTTCATTCATGTCATTGCATTCCCTAAATGTCTGAAATGACCTATGATCATATGGAATTGAAAACATCAGACAGATCATATCAATAAAATGGGCCAAAGCTTATAAAAACAGTGATTCTTTTTTTTACTTCCTATTGATGTTAAAACCAGGATCATCTGTACAATTTATATAAAGATCAAACGCCTATATAACTTTTTAAGGGCAATTTTATGACACAGGTGGAACAAAGAGAACAATCAGACAGGAATAGTAATAGACTTTTGTCTCATTTTCCCTGCAAACCAAAGGTCTGAGTAACACAATATATTTTAAATCAAGCCAAAAGCCTTTTTCTGTATTTTTTCCCCATGAATTTGCTATTTGTGTTTGAAGTCTATCTCCATTTCCTATACCCATTCTCAAAAACATAAATAAAATTATTTTAGAAGAAAAGGTAATAAGTAAAAATGCAAATTAATTGTTAATATCCTTCCTAAAGGCACACAGGGACCTCAGGTTTACTTTCTCAGAAGGCAATGTTCCATTTCTTAAAAATTACTTAGGTACAAACAGACAAGGACAAAGATAATTAGCAGAAATTAAACCAGATGCATCAAGTGACTGGATTATAGACTTGCTGACCTGGTAACCAACCACACCTGCTGCAGATCTTCCATGTTACAGATCCCCCTAATCACGCAGCCAGCCTCCAGGCATTTTGCCAGGGGATGGTGCTGAGGCAGGAGTGCCACCATGCCTGCCACCAGCCAAAGGAAAGATTTCTTTTCCCTCCACCCAACTGTTAACTCTGGGCTGGAAAAGGGACATCAAAAGAGAAATAAACCCACTTACGGAGCTTCCGGGTTGCTCTCCCCTGCACCTGGGGTTTCTGGGTTTCCCTCCCAGAGAAGTACACATGTAGGAAGATTGAGACCAAAAAAGATAAGCATTTCCTGATCCCCTTTTCTCAATACTTCCTCAAACAAACAAGTTTACACTTCCTCTAAAAGTTTTTAAGTCATTTGGATTTACTGGGAGGGAAAGAAGGGACAATAGGAGAAAAAAGACACCTTTAAAAACGCATTTTAAAAGATGAAAAAAGTTACATATTCCCTTTACCAGTTCAGAGGTTAACTCAACGTTTCATCAACTTCGATGAACACGTGGGCTCGCCCGTGTGTGTTTCTTTGTCATTTCTAAGGATGAGCTCCTTTTGGAGGTTCGTTCACAGCCACCCAGCTCTGAAAGGAGTCTGCGACCACGATGGGCTCATTCCCAGCTCAGGCGGGCGGCAGAAACGTTGGTGCCTCCTACCTACCTTCAGAGTTGGACCATGGCCGCCTAGCTTTCTCCGTTTCACAAACACAACGGGTACGTCGGTCTCGGCGGTCAGCTCGGCCAGCGCTCCCTCGAGGCCGGGCCCGTCCTCTGTGGCACACAAGCAGAGAGGGGAGCGGGTCAGGCTTTCTGCCCGGGTCGCGGCGGGAAGTGCGCGGCGGGGGCGGGGCTTCCGCGTCCCCTCGTCCGAGCCCCCAGGCGACCGGCACCGCCGCCTCCCTGTGCAACAGCGCCACCTGCCCCAGCCCAGACAACGACCCAGGCCGGCGAGGGGCTCGATCCTGGACATAGTACACCTGCAGGGACGCTGGCACACAGCCTGAGGCCAGCTACAGACTCCAGCCTTATGGTCAGACTCGAATCGTGGCAAGTCTCCCTAAACTTACACGTCCTACTTTCCCAGTAAGTCCGGAATTCAGGAAAGCCTTAAAAAGGAAGATGATGGCACAATTTATCTCAGCTTTTATAAAACACCTCCCAACTTAATCTTCCTTTAAACTGCATCTAAACAGAATGTCAAAATCCAACTTACAACGTTTCTTTGAAATTTGATTCCACAGGGCAGAATTATGAAAACTCTGTCCACTTAGGCTGGTTTAAGAACCTTGAAACAATACAGCAACACCCTATATGACAGATGGGACCTAATGGTCCAATTTTACAGGTGAACTCAGAGAATGAGTCAGTGATAGAATTAAAAAGACTCCCGTTACACTGACTTCAGCCCATTCATGAGACAAAAACCACACCAACAGTCTAAAGTATAGTTGTTTGATAACAATAATGATAGCTAACACTTCTGTAGTGCTTTGCATATATGAACACAGTCTTCACAACTACCTTTTTGAAGTGAGGCCTATCAGGTCCATTTCACACACAGAGGAACTGAGGCACAGAAAAGCTAACTTGCCCAAGGTCACGCAGCTGGTCAACAGCAGATCCAGGATTCACACTCAGGCAGTGTAGTGAACCCTTTTATATATTACCCTGTATTGGCTGATATAGTCAGATAAAAGCACCGGTTCCACTCTTAACTGTCTGGTTTAATAGCCTGGGGCAAGTCAAATGATTCTGAGCCTTAAACATGTAAATATGTATAATTTGCAACCTCTCAGGATTTTTGAGGATTCAAATATGAAAATCCTTGAAAGATATCCTGAAATTGTAACACTCTCCTAATGCTGTTGAGGATCTATCAATCCATTCATCACATGATTATCTACATTTCAAGACTCGTGCATTAAGAAACGATACAAAAACCCATTTTCTCATATATTCTGCAAGCAAACTGTCTCTACAAAGAAGAACTGGAGGAAGGAAACCACCAGGGGGCCAGTGACACCTACCACAGGCTAAGCTGTCACTGACCCGAGCGAAACAACGAAGGCCACCTAAAAGCTCACTTGGCTCAGAAAAGCCTCACCCCTACTCAGACATGCCTTAAACATCTCCCCTTCCCTGCATTCATCACGCACCCAGCAGGCGGATGTTCACGTCTCCAGCGTGCTCACAGCCTGAACGCTCGGAGCTTTGTGGCTGTCAGTCAACCCAGGGCTTACATGAACAGGAGCTCTAGGGGTTCAGGCCCTTCTTCAGGTGTCCCACACCTTCCGCTCCGATGCAATGCGGGACTGAAGCAAACAGGGGAACGGGCTGCTGGTTCCTAGTGGCTACAAGAAGCCACTCCCTTCTCTGAGCGGAGCGGGTGGGCGGAGAGCCAGAGTCAGAATGACAAAGCAAAAATCCACTCCTCGTGCAGCCCTGGCAACCAACACGCCCATAGCTAACTAGGATCCCCTAGTTGGGTGACGCCACATCCTCTTCCTGCGCATAGCGCCCCCAGCACAAGAAAAGTGCAAAAACTGTTTAAGGAATGTTTAGAACCAGAGTCCAAAATAAGAGTGGGTTTTAAATGAACAAAACTGTACTATGCCATAAGTGACTCCAGAACTTTGCTGCCCGTGTAATCACCGCTGGTTCTTTAAAAATGCTGGTGCCTGGTTCCCACCCCCAGATATTATAATGTAATGGGTATGGGGTGCAACCTGGGCATCTGAGTATTTTTTAATTCTCTGGTATTCTAATGAACAGCAAAATTGGGGACCCAATGCCCTCAGGTAATAGATTAGTCAGCCTGGCAATTCCCTAAAGGAAGTTATTTGTCCACCCTGACTAATTCTGAATAGAAATGACAAATTCTCACCAACACAAAACTTCCCCTTATAGTTCTTCCTCCTTCTCCCACTCAGGTTTTGGTTTGTCATGTATGTTTTAAGGAAAACTGAAAGCATGCAACGCCAGCCATGCCAAACCACCTGCAGCTGCCCAAGGAGCCATGCCCTCTGTGGACTAAGAAGAGCCACATGTTCACCTGACAAGCTCAGGGAAGGCCTGAGTGGCAGCCTTGCAAACTCAGAGACCTAAAATAACCACAAAAGATGGTCTAAAATTAAAACATTTTTTTTATCCTCACCCAAGGACATTTTTGCATTTATCTTCAGATAGTGTGGGAGGGAGAGAAGGAGAAAGAGAGAGAGAGAAACATCGATGAGAGAGAAACACTGAGGAGAGAACACATCGACTGGTTGTCATCTGCACGACCCCAACGGGGGTCTGGGACAAACCGCAACCGAGGTTCATGCCCTTAGCGGGAACCAAACCCGGGACTCTCTGGTCCATGGGCCAACGCTCTAACCACTGAGGCAAACCGGCCAAGGCTAAAATGAAAACTTTTTAACTAAAAGCTGTTTATGGCAGGTACTCATGTCCTAGGCTAGATCTTCCCTGACAAAAGTCAATCTTTACCATTGTCTTTTGCATCTACTATAACATACTTTTGGAATGTCAGGGTAATTTCCCTTTTTCCAGACCCCTCAGGGTACAACCAATGCACCAGAACAGAGACTACAAATCCTCTCATTGTTATTTATATCATGTTAATTGTTGAGTATTAACTATATCCTGTACCCACCTATGTTTCCTTAAAACATACACGATTATCATTTTACTTTTTATCCAATCCCAGAGGTACTTCCGTGCCTCTTTGCTTTCTCCTACCTCCTTAATCATCAATGAATTTCATGTAACCCACTTATGTCTTCTCTCCCCTGCCCCACACTCCAACTGCTGAGCCAAGCCGGCCAAGGCCTTCTCTTTTGAATGTAATGTATAAAATAAGGTGCAAAACTGCCATTCGGAGCATTTTCTCAGTCCCTTGAGATTTTCCTTCCTGGCAAGTGTCAACAGTTTGGCTCCAATAAACTCACAAAAATTCTTTACAGGTTTAAATGTTCCTTACGCTGACATCTCTCATACTTCCCTGCTCTTAGTCATATTGCACTAGTAGCTAGCAATGAATATTTGCTGAATAAATAGATAAATGAGCCCTGCCCTGTTTTGCTCAGTGGTTAGAGTGTCGGTCTCAGGTTCGATTTCAGGTCAAGAGCACATACCTGGGTTGCAGGTTCTTCCCTGCCCAGACAGGGTCATGTGGGAGGAAACCAATCAGATGTTGTTGTTTTTTTCTCTCTCCCTCCCTCCCTTCCATTCCATCTAAAAAAATCAGTGGAAAAATATCCTCAGCTGAGGCTTAACAAAAAATAAAATAAAATAAATGTTGGGCAACCACATAACAATGCGGGGTTCTGTGGTCTCATGCTCTGGTGGGAAATTGTGCCCTGAGGGGTCTGGAAAAGTAAAGATTACCTGACATTCCAAAGGTATTCAGAGTACCTTAGATGCAAAATGATAATAGGCAGCTTCATTTTTTTTTTTTAATGGACTTTCATTGCCCTGGCCAGTTTTGCTCAGTGGTTAGAGCGTCGACCAACAGACCAGAGAGACCCGGGTTCGGTTCCCACTAAGGGAACGTGCCTCGGTTGCAGTTTGGTCATGTGGGTGGCAGCCACTCGATGTGTCTCTCTCACATTGATGTTTCTCTCTCTCTCTTCCTCCCACTCTCCCTCCAGCTCTGTCTGAAGATAAATGCAAAAAAATGTCCTCAGGTGAGGATAAAAATAAATAAATGGACTTTTGTCAAGGAAGCTACTGGTCTAGGACATGACTACCCGCCATGACTCACCTTTTGTAGGGAATTTTTATGTTCAGACCATCCTATGTGGTTCTTTTCAGTCTCTGAGTTTGTAAAGTCTGCCATGCAGGCCTTTCCTGAGCTTGTCAGGTTGAGTGTGTGGCCCGTTTTTCATTTCTTTTTTTTTTTTTAATTATTTTTTTATTAATTTGTTTTTGTCACAGATGTTTCTCCTTTTTCCCCCATTGACACCCTCTTCCCAATCCCTCCCACCCCATCCCCAGCTTTGTTGTCTATGTCCATTGTTCATGCACACATGCATATAAGTTCTGTGGTTTATCTCTTCCACCCCAACACTCCCTCTTCTGAGACTTGTCAGTCTGTACCCTACCTCTATGTCTCTGGGTCAATTTCATTCATCAGTTTGTTTAGTTCACTATATTCCACAAATAAGTGAGATCATGTGATATTTGTCTTTCTCTGTGTGGCTTGTTCCGCTTAGCATTATACTCTCCAGGTCCCTCCATGTCATCTCAAATGATAAGAGATCTTTCTTTCTTACAGCACCATAGTATTCCAGTGTGGCCCCTTTTTCATCCATAAGTTCTACAACTGATTGGATCAAGCCCATTCACGTTATGGAAGGGAATCTGCTTTATTTCAAGTCTACTGATTTCAATGTTAATCACATCACTAAAACCTTCATAGCAATATCTAGACTAGTGTTTGACCAAAAACTTGGTACCACAATGACATATAAAATTAACCATCCCATCATGGGACTAGATTAAATTAACCAGGGAATTAATATATTTTAAAAAATAAAGACAGTCCAGGACTGAGCACTGGTAAAGTGCAAAGGAAAAAAGTCCAGCAAAGGAGCCTGAGAAGGAGCTGAAGGGAGGTAGGAAAAACAAACAAAACAGAAAACAAGAGAACATGGAATCTCATAAGCCAATGAAGAAGTGCTCCAAAAAGGAGGAAGATCAACTCTATTCAGTGCTGCCAAGAAACCCTGCAAGATAAGGACTGAGCCATGGAAGCCATTGCTGATGTTATGAAAATAGTAGGGGGGATGAAAGCCTAATTAGATGAGATTCAACAGGAAACAAAAAATAAGAAGGTAGAGGTACAGTCGTTCCTCGCCACTTCGTGCTTCGACTTTCGCGGCTTCACTCTATCCCGGGTTTTTTTCTATACAGTATTTGAAAAAACTGCGATAGAGTGAAGCCGCGAAAGTAGAAAGTAAGCGCGAAGCATCGAGGACGACTGTATATAAATAAAGAATCCTACTTTAGGGTGTAAAGGACAAACACATGACCTTGCCCCCTGGTGTTTGAGGGAATGGCAAGAACTATCTGCTAATAGGTAACCACTGCATTGTATAGATAACCATTGCTCTGTGTACACAGAAACTGATTGTTCCCTCAGGCACGACAGCTAACTGCAAATATCTGCTTCTGTGCGTGCTTGCTTGCTCGCATACCCTTAACCCAAATTCCTTAACAGGGGCTAAGACAACTATATAAGCAACCCACCCCCTGAGCTCGGGGCTGCTCTCTCCTCTGAGTAGGATGGGACAGTCCCGCGCGGCTAATAGAGCTCTCCAATTTGAACCCAGTTCGGAGTCTGAGTCTGGTCTGTCTCTTGGTCTACAGCGAGGGAAACTCATTTATCGCGGTAGAGTCCGGAACTAACTAACTGCAATAAAGGAGGGCCGACTGTAGTACGCACAGCCAACTCTTTCAAGAAGTTTTACTATAAACACAGGTAAGTGGGAAAATAGCTGAAGAAGGATGTAGGATCGAGGAAGGTTTTTTTGTTGTTTTTGTTTTGTCTAAGAAGGAAATTATTATAGCATGTTTTTATGCTGAAGGAATAATCCAGTAAAGGGAAATTTGGCAATTTCCAAAGAGGAAAGGAGGAAGAGAAGATCATTACAGAAGAAAAGTCCTTTGAATGTACATCTAATATGCAACACAGACTTTGAAGTCAAATCTAGATTCTGTCACTGATTAGAGAATCAAGGTATCAGGTTACTTAGCCTCTCAGCTTCCTCATCCTCTTTCTACAAGCCCCTCTGTGGACCTTCTACCCCTTTATCTCATCCAAACCTCTTTGTATCTCTATGCCCCAGCCCTTAGCCCTTTTTAAATCTCTTAAAATTACCAAACCACAGGGCTTTGCTAACTCTCCTCATCAAATCTTAATTCAAACTGCCTTCCTTGAGGAAGCCGTTACATAGGTCAAATCCTCTTATGGAATGCTCCCCAGTTACCATGTATTCTTTCTGCTTAATACATGCCACAATTGCAATTGTGTCTATTTATGACTATTTGATCAATGTCAGCCTCCATTTCTAGAACAGCACAGTTCAACAGAACTTTCTGTGATAATAGAAATGTTCTATGTCAACACTATCTAACCCAATAGCCATCAACCACGTGACTATTGAGCACTTAAAATATGGCTAGTGCAAGTGCAGACCTGAAGTTTTTATGTTATTTGTTTACTTAATTTAAATATAAATAGCCACATGTGGGCAGGGACCAGGATTATTTATGCTCACTATGGTGTTCCCAGAACTTAATACAGGGCCCACATATAGTAATTGCTCAATAATTATTTGTTA